GCACCTCCGAGGCTCCAGCACTTTGCAAGGCAAGGCAAGGATTCTTCCCACATCGCGGTCGGTTTACACTCGAGCCTCGAGCCTCGAGGGAATACAGCGCTCTATTCTAGCACATCGTCGTTCCTTCCAGAATCCGGTCGAGTCGGTCAAAGTAACATCGACACGGCGCAGAGCCGTACGCAGCTCCGGCGGTGTGCACCGCCAGGCCCAGAAATCAAGCCACATTTTCCAGCTCTTTTCTCCGACGCACAATCGCAGTCGCTTGCTTTCGCTTGCGCTCCTATAATCGATCCTGAATATCCTCGTTTCGTGGACCCATATGGCCACGGTATCATGACTGACTGGACTGTCCCATGGCCGAGCCGACGACTTTACGAGTTCTAGCGTGTCATCATTTCTCGCCTCAATGAAGCAATCGATCACCTCCTTCGACATTGCCAGTAAAACCTCGGATGGTCAATTTGCGAGGGTGATGGCTTCTCCGAGAAACATTCTCTAGTTTGGGGCTTTCATAATAGCATGTGGAGTGTTTAGAAATGATGACATTCAGCTTTCACTTAATCCTCCAAACTCTTGCAGAAAGTTACACTTTTGGCTCGTTCCTCCCTCGCGATTTTGCCAACCCATCATACCACAAAATCTAGTCCTTCTCCAGAAACAACCAAAATCCAGTCAACTTTGCCCCGAGATTCAGACGATATGGACTCGAGAGGAATGTCAGTTCGGCCCAAAGAACGCACTTGCTGAACAGTCTTGCTAAGGTCTGGGGCCTCGCCGAGAAAAATCAGAAAAATCTGGAAAATCATTGAGCGGTCGTATGCAAGCCACCTTCGTACACAAGTACTGTATAAATGTGATCGTATCAGAGATCTTTGATGGCCAGGAGTTACGTACGGGCGACAGTCGGTGTTGTAGAGCTCAGGAATACCGGTAGCGGGATATTTGCCAACTTGACCACGGGACGGGACGGGACGGTACGGTACGACCCGTCATGCTCCCGGTGGTCCTGGTCTGGGCGCAGGCCGAGGGTTGAAAGGTCACGGCGCAGTGAAGGCCTGAGACGCGTCCACGTCGAGCGAGAAGCTGACGATCATGGCGCGCCGAGCGACTGGTCGCGTCGCGGGGGGGGGGGGGAGGGACGTGCTCCGTAATGAGTGGGGCGTTCTCCGTCAGTGTGCCGGGGCCGGGACGGGACGTTATGTGGTCCTGGGGAGGCAAAAGACTTGGGGGGGGGGGGGGGGGTACGGTGTTACGACGGTGAGAGTGTACCGGGCTGGAGTGTTGGAGTCGATCAGGCGAGGGCGAGGGCGAGGGCGCAGCGGGTCAAAGAACGTGGAGAGCACGGCGGGGCCAGCGAGTCGGACGGAGGGAGGGTCTGACCGGTCGATCAACGATTCAATGCAGAGCGAGGAGCAATGGAATGAGAGAAAGGAAAAGAGGATCTCGATTTCTGGTGGCATTATCTTGAAAAGAAAAGCGTCGTGGGGGTGTAGGAAGTACGAGTCGCAGAGAAGTGTGTACTGCGCAGTTATTGGCTGCGATGGAGGTTTCAGGGTTCGAATGGCAGGACGTCGATCATCGACTGGTCGCTGCTGCTGCTGACGCTTTTGTCTATGGCAGTAATGTGATGCTCGAGAGGGCGAGGGCCGGTACAGAGGAAGTTGCGCGTATTCAATGGTTGGCGTGTGCTTAAATGCACCCGCGACCTTGCGAGCTGACCCGACCTGACTTGAACTCTGGAAGCTCAGATGCGTGTCGACCCTGGAGTCCGCTTCTTGGCCTTCCCTGCCTTCCCGGCCCTCCAGCCCCGAGTGAATGCGACGGTTTCGACGGTATTTGGCGACGATCTACGGCCAGATGCCGATTGCGCCTGCAGGATCCAATGTAATGTAAGTGGCTTGCTCTGATCTGCGCACTTACTCCATGGCTTCCGTACCGACGAATTCCATGCAGGCTTCTGTACAGTACATGAATCCGACTCCATGCTTCCTTTCCTCAGGATTTGATAATTGCCCATCTCGCCGGCACGGCTCTGGGAGCCTGGGAGCCTGGCAACGAGCCTTGGAGGCGAGCGCCAAAAGAAAAGGACGGTCTGCCACGGTGAACGTACCGCCTAGCGCAAGGGTGAGGGTGAGGGTCGGGGAGTTTTTTGGCAACTCAAGACCGTATTATTAAAGCTTCTAACTGTGGCGTGCTGGTGGTGGCCTTGTGTCTTCGACGAGAGTCTCGACTGCAGAGGGCTCGCGGGGCCTACTGCAGTCAGACGAAGATCAGGCGAGAGGCTAGCATGTTCTAAATTTAGGGGGCAGTCTGCACTGTGCTAACGAAAGAGGCTGACACGGTGGGGGACCTGCGCTGCCATGGATCCATCTTTTTCAATGCCTCTCTTTCCTGCCTCCTGCAGTCGCCATTGCTGCGTTGCCCGTCTCGCGGGTCGCGGTGTTTACCCTCTGCGTCGTTGCGTCAGAGTGTTCTGATTCTCTACGCCTTGCTGCGAGTTGCTTTTGCGAACTCACCAGTTCATATTGTCGACCTACCTCTGTTTATCCTGTTCGACTCCAGCTCCAGCGGCCTTGCTTTTCGATTTACAGCGTAACAGGTTGTGTTACGTCGCCATGTGCATCCAGACATGCTCTTCGTCATTGTTTCCTGATTGGCCCTTATGCCCCAGGCCGCACCGGACACGACTCACATGATACTGGAACTAAAGTGCGAGAAATTATCGAACTTAAAGCCATGTCTATTTTAATCACACCACGTAATAATACTTTAGTGCATTCTATCTGTACAACAAAAGAACATCGCATCGTGCCATGACGATTTTTACTGATTCTGTCGTCGTTCATCGCACCTCGCGTTGCACCGGCTCTAATCAACACTTGCGCCCGCGGAGAAAGCACGACGTTTTGTTCAGCAGGCTCGAGCACACACAACCCGATAGAAACCCAAAACCCAAAGACGCTCCGCGTGGTTGCGGTCACTGTCCTTGCGAAGCCACAGCATTTATCAGTGCTTATAAAATCATTTTCTGCCCACCTAGAGTCGCGAGATAGAGAGCTCGCCTCATTGCTACCAAATGCAGCACACACAAGACCTACGTATGACACTAGACCCCACTCATGATTTTGGTGGTTTACAGTGCAAACTCTCCAGGTATGAGAACGCAGTTGCTACGTTCTCAATATATCCACCTGTTTCAGATATATGCTGTCCTCAGACTCCTGTTGTTTCCTAAACGACACCGTCAGTCATTTTGACCACTCCATCAAGATAAGCATGAGGCTGAAATCCAGCGCTTACGATACCATCCTGACATTGATACTGCATTTGATGGAATTCCAACTTTGCATCCTGGTATAATCCTGCTGCCTGACAGAGCACTGACCATGCGCGAGGTGAATACAGTGCGCACACAGATTGATTACAACTTGGGTGACTCGTTCTGCACTGACAACTTGGCCAAGTACGCTAATCTCAACCAACTTGCTCATTCAATGACCTCGGAATCACCAGAATATCTTTGCATGCCAGTTCACACCAGTTCCTTAGTTCTATATTAGGACTTCATGTGTGCATTTGGCTTGTGCTTGGTTTTGAAAAGTCATGCTCATCCTTAAAAGTGTCAAGGCAATTTCACTGGGTGCTTACATGCTTCACCTTCCTTCACCTTCCTTCAAATCTTCTGACTATTGCATATGCTTCGAGTGACATGTTCGTGTCTACTAGAGGTATACGTGTAGTCCTAGAAAGAAGTTGAAATGGACCTAGACTCAGCGCGCGAAGTTTGACGACCTGATGAACTTTGCTGCATGGTTCCACATACAATGAAATCTGAAGTAAGCAGAGGGCGGATCCTAATAATACGTGATCCAGATTCATCAGGTGTGTATCAGTGTGAGCCTAGTCAGACATTGAGGATGACATGAAATGCTAGAAGATCAGGACAATCCACCTCAAGGAAAATGTTCATTCATGCTCTCGCTATCTTTCTCCTAGTGATAAACACGAAGATGGCATGGTCACGTACCATTAAAGCTATGACCTTTCGTTTGTAAAGTGGAGCTCTCGAGTGTAGATATTTTCAAACCAAATCGGCGTCAATTTTAGGAAAGCTCACGACGAAAGTGTTGACGAAAGAATCGAGCAACATTCAATGCATGCATACCATCTCATTCCCTCCCTTTCGGACACACCATTTACATTTAATCTCGACTCGGGCCTCCTCCTCTACTTTTTCTTTGAGTGCATTGAGATGATGATGAAGTCCATGCGTCCTTTTGACTCTACGAGTAGCAACGCTTCCTCTGTGTCTGGGTGGTGACAAACCTCAGAAAGCTGATAAGAAGCTTTTGTTTATTTATTCATGGCCTATTTCTATGGTTCACTTTCATCTTTCTTTTGGAAGTTCTTTGATATCAGCCTGACAAATGTTGGGTCCTTTCATACACTCTACTCTCATATGAACTGTAGGGTAAGAAACGAAGACAACTCGTCGCAGAGGCTTCTAGATTATTTTTGGGGTTGGGTGAAATCTTCTTCTCATGTTACTCTCCCATGAAGTTGTTGTTGTGGCTCCTGGTATTCTGGATCAGATGCATAAAAGCTGCTAAGTCCTCCGCTCGTATCCCGACACGAGATATGCTTGGAACTATCCATGACTGCGAGCTTTAGGGTTTAGGGTTTACGAAATTTTTTAGATTTCTTGATCGATTACTTCAAAAGAGAAAAGGGGAGAGAAAAAAAGGTACTCACGTCTTGACAGCTTGTTCTGTGGGGTTGGAGATTGACAGGAAGGGGCAGTACAAACGTCAACATCACAGTAAGGAAAATATATCAACCTGGTCCGCCATTGACATTGTACTTCTCTGCTCCAAAATTCCTCTCCTCTTTGTTTGCTAGCTGGAAAAGACTCGATTCGACTCGGTGTGTGAGTAGGTTGAGATAAGAAGAAGGCCATGTGAAGACTCTGAGTAAATCAATACGTGTCATCAAAATTCATATGGGGGTCAATGCAACTCATCTCTGTATTCAATGAATCAGGCAACTGCCAAAGTGTGATCTGTCAACCCCAAGCATACTAGACAACAACGAGAATGGACTCCATTCCATGTCGTAGGCTATAGCCCACTTGCACGAAAAGCACGTCAAGGTACTAGCTGACTTGTGACCCCTTGGCTTCTTCGACATCTCGTCTCTTTCAGCTGCTGTCTTTGACCACAACAATGAACAGACTTGAAAGAGACAAATCAACTCATGAGGTTTGTCGTGACCAGTGAATTGACAATCCACTCCCACTGTCCACTTCCACAATTGCAAAGTCACTCCAAGGCCATTCTTCTCACCATCCTCGCTATCGAAAGAAACATCGATTTTATCATCGAGGTCAAGAATCATAGAAACCCTGTCAAAGTAAATAGCGTGTCAGGACCAGAACTAAACCTCCTTTAACTATGCAATTGTGTGTGCCGAATTAGCGTCAATTGAAAAATCCTCTGCACATGACCTTGGTTGCTACGAATTAAGCACGTTTTGTAATAAGAAAAAGGTCCCCAGGCCTGATAGAGGCAGGAATTAACAGCGGCACTCTGATGCCCATATTTTATCCTGTGCGCGTCATCGAAGGACTAAAAATAGTTTGTATCGTGGACCGTTTCTGCCCGGGAGAGCTGCGCAGACGCATCTGTCAAATCCAGACTTCCTGCGCAAATTCCACCGTTTGTACTCTCGACGCCAGGCCATGGTTAATCGAGAGCCGGCTGGACGGACGGACGGACGGAATCGGTTGACGACAGATGTGACGGAAATCGAAGGAAATTCGCGAGGGAGATTCGCGAATATAACGTGCGAGCGAGGTGGGCCTCGACTCTTCGATCCGTCGTCCTCTTGATCGAGGCCCGAGTAAATGCATGGAATTGGCGTCGCGGACATCCGTCATGCCGGGACCGTGGTGGTCCTTCAGTCATTCAGCACCAGAATGAGGATCAGACGCTTGCCTTTTCCAGCTGCTCCAGCTCTTTCTGACCCCTTTTCGTCCTCTCTATCTCATCTCATCTCATCTCATCTTCTTCGGCGTGGACAAACAACTTGAAGGCGAAATTTCTTTTCGCACGAGCAATCATTCCGCGTCCTCCTCCTCGACTGCGAAACTGTGACAACGACCATCCATTCGCCACTCGAATTGTACATGACAATCGTACTCCGGGAGCCGGACCTTCTCATAGGACTCCCACGCAGAGCGAGAGAGTGAAGTGAAGGTAAAGAATGGTGGACACGGAATGTAAGAAGAATGCGGTGCGATGTGTGGAAATCGGCGGACTAATATAATCGCAGAGAGGGCATGATGATTGATGTGGGCCACGGTCTTCAGCCGAGGATTTACGAGTTCCCCTCCACAGAAGCAAAAGGGCCGAGATAAAGACGTGATATCATGTCACTCCGGTTCATGATGGAGACATTATTTGTGGCATTGTAAAGGCTACCGGTGCTGCTTTGCTTCGTAAGGGACAGACACAGCAGGAGGAGGGACGAGGGCCGAGCTAGGGTTGTAGTTTCCATTGGCCAGCCGCATAGATTAGGGTGCTACTGTGTAGCCCAGCAACATGCATGAAATTTGGTGAATGAGGTCAGCCACCATCCATGTGGAACCACCCCGAGCAAAGGCTGCCACCCGCATCTAGTTTATTAATTTTCTCATCATTTTCCCACTTTCCTTTGTCGTATGAATGGCTACCGATGGATCTATTTCCCTGCGAAGTCCCCTCAGCGTCCGTATTCTTCTCGAGAAAGGTTAGTGAAAACCTCGCCCCGACTTGTAACTCTGATTGATCGCCACTTTTCCATCTGTCCCACCCATGCAGGGTTTCTGTCTCGAGAGCCTGCAGGAGGAAAACCATGTACGAAGAGCGATAGGACTGACCAGCAAATTCGAGGATGCAAGATAGTCCAAGCATTGATATGTGTGTGCGTGACATATATAAATTGTTAAAATATAAATATTCTTTTAGAGTATGTGCTCCAACCGGGACCTAGTCTGATGAAAGCATGGAACCCTACATACGCTCCGAATCTGGACTGAATCGTTGTCGGTACAAGCTTTGTGAAGATGGCTTTCACAGTATTGCATTGACCTTAAGGATTTACTAGGTGCGAAGCTCTACGATGTAGTCTTCAGCAAATCTTTCGTGCTGTATTTTGTCATAGTTTTCAGTCAACCGATTTTGAAGACTCGAGCATTTACTTGATTAGATTAGTAAAATCCAACATCCCATCGCATGTTTTCTTCTCACACCACCACGATCGATTGTATCATCTCGATCGACATTGCAAAGGGTTGTTATCAAAGATAGGGTATAATGAGCACAAACTTGCAAACTATTCATATCCGGAGAGAGTTTAACAAATTTAAGATATAAGTTAGTCTCGACCAACATATTCCAGATTTCACGAATTACTCATTTTGTATGATTTGGGTTGAGAAGTGGTGATCAGATCAAAATTCGTATTGTCGTTAGAGTCAAAAGTTGAATATTTCTATACGAAATCATGTGAACTTTCACAAACATGATAACATTTTTTATAAAGCTTCTAATTTAATTCAAAATCTTCATCAGGACCATCTATCAACTCAATTTTTCTAGAAAGCAAAATATATTTGATAATATACCGGTCCTAATTCACAAAATATTTCTGTTATTATCGTTATGAAATGAACGTTTCGTTTTGAAGCGTTATAAAATGGCATTGAATACAGATTTCATTTTAGTGATTATAACCACTTTGTTCTCTCTCTCTCTCTCTCTCTATATATATATATATATATATATATATATTGCAGTTTGACAATCATGTGCAATATTTGTGGTTGTAATGCAGTAGAAAAGTATAAAGTAAATACATTATAAATAAAACAAGATCCTCGGGACACTGTATTTTACATTTTTATGTGATTTATTATTCTATATCATTATCATAATTATGAATGACATTAAAATTTTGATTCAAAATTATTTTTTCTTATGTCATTAAATTTAAGAAATATTTGAATTTTATATAATTATTTCTGATTTATTTTTTTCAAAATATTGAAAAATTGTTGCAAAATATAGTTGAATATTATAAATATAAAATTAATCTAGAAGAGAAAAGTTTATATTATATTGAGTAAATATCTAAAAATTTTAAGTAAAAGTTTTTACAATATTTTTGTCATTTTCATATACAAAACCATAGTGGATCAATTTAAATATGTTTAAAAATACAATTTAAAGGCAAACTATATTTTTTCGTCTTCTCATAAAAAAATATTAAAAAATTAAATAAAAATGATTTTACATCATTTCAAAATGTAAAATTTAAAATAATAATTTATTTTCATTTCTTACAAAGTAATTATAACCAACTTAATCATGCATAAAGTATTTGAATTATAAACAAAAGTATTCAATCAACAATCATATATTTAGAAAGAAATTACACTTATTTTATATCACATTGTTAGAAAAAATTCTTTTAAAAAATATATATATTAAAATTAGAAATATTTGTGAGTGATAATATTTTAAATACTTGCTGATTCATGATTAAATTAATGCAAGTGTTGTAAATATATAAATATTTTTAAAAATTAATGAAATCTACAGTTTTTAATGTGATGTCAATTAGAGCTAAAGTATGAATGTAGAATGAAGTAGCTAACATCAAATATGAAGTTCATGTGCAAGCAAATTTTAGGAAATTATGATTCAAAATTTCATATTTGTTGATGAATTTCAAAAATTTCACATAATGAATTGCAACGTATTGTTATTTTCTTACACATGGCTAAATGAAAAGCACAATTTAATTTTCTATATGTGATGTGTATGATCTACATATATGGTTTGTTTTAATCATTGAATATTTTGAAGATTATAATAATAAAAATTCAATTCAGCTTTGTTACTAAATATTTTTAAATTCTAATCCAAATCTCTGTTTGTAAAATGAGCATAAAACTAATAACTTTATCAAAATTTTGATTAGATTATGACTATAAATACCTATAATTGGATTAAGTTATTTAATTTTGGAATAATACTATATATATACATATGTTTTAAATATTTTATGTACATAAATAATTCAATTTATTTCAATCTCTTTAAAATGTGAGTATAATTTTAAACATTTGATAACAATTTTTTATCAAATTCATGAATTAATTATTTTCTTTTTATAAAAAAGTTAGTAAATCAATCAAGTATAATATTAAGGATTTATTTTATATCATATGTATTGGGATTTATTCAACTTCCAAAAAATTGCATTTGTGGGTGGCTACTTTGTGCATTTCAAATTTTTATATTCTCCTTGGAGAGTTTAAAAGGTTTAAAGAGCTTCCTTGGACGTGGCTCTGTTTGCCTGTTACATGTAGGCAGTACACTGGAATATTTTCTCTACAATGAGTTGTATCTAACCAGAACTCACTCTTTGAATATGAGTGAGGGCGTGCTAGAATTCCTTCGGTTTACATCCAATAAAGTAAATTGAGTTGATTTCCATGAGATATTTTATTTTATTTTTGAGGCAAATGCTGAGATTTCCATTGCAAGAGAAAAAATACATCACCGCCGCAAAACCTGGCAAGGAGTATACTTGCTGGCGATACCTATTGTTTGAATTTTCCTACCTGATAACAATACCTACCATGAAACCAACTACACAAACACCCCACATACAAGGAGGATGTAGTTCCATCAAACATAGTCCTTCTAGAGAGATCAGATAGTGTTGTTGGACTTCTCAAAAAATGGATAGTTCACCATAAGCTAGTATTCTGCACGTCCTCAAAAGTCATAAGAGTCAAAGCTTCAATCAGTGAACTCAAGCATCTCCACGCCTTGATAAGGCGAGTTCATAGTAACGATACTTGAGGCGTCACAAACTTCGCCAATAGCGTCCATTGGAGTGAGCGGAGCCATGGCCCAGGCCCAGGCGGCCACAGACCTGCAAGCCGGTGTGTGAGCAGAATATGAAGCGGGGATATGCCGGAAGTTAAGGTCTTAATGACCCATTTGCTCATCAAGGCAATGAGAGCATCTTTAAGATCCACGATGCCAAGACCATCCACTAATTTTGATGCGCAACAATCATCCCATCTCACCTTGGCTCGCGAGTGCTCCTCAGTGTCAGTCCATCAAAAGTTCCTCATAGAGGCTCAAATTGTACGAAGAATTGTAGCCGATCCGCCCCATATGCTCAAGAAATATCATAAGGTAGATAGAAGCACATAATTCACCACCATTGCTCTGGCGGTCAGCGATAGTTGAACCAAGGATCAATACTTAATTTTTTACTGATCTTGGCAGCCAAGAACTGGTCGACATATGTAGTCGCAAGTGATACTCCAAAAGTGGTGCCTAGCAGCTTGCTGAGGGAGCCAAGAGGTGCTTTCGTGCACCCGAAGGAGGTCTGCCAAGTAGGAGATGGATAGACAACGTACAAGTAAATTCCACACTTGTGCCGATTGAGGGTGAGTCCCGTCGGTTTTCCAAAGGCGTTGAGGAGGCTCGAAGCAGCTAACAAGTTCAATTTTGTGCCAAGGAGCGAGAAAGTGACATCATCCGCAAATTGGATGAGAACATGCTGGGTGACATCGTCAAGGAGGCGTATGCCACGGATAATACCTTCTGTCATTGCATGGCGAGTTGCTGTAGAAAGGGCTTTGGCCACAAGCAAAAAAAAATACGGCGCCAGAGGAAAACCCTAAAGCACTCCTCTCAGAATAGGGAACGGAGTTGTATGGGTGCCGTTAAGGGACACTACCGAAGACGCATTCGCAAGCAACATGCGCACCATGGAAACGTAATGGGTGGGCAAGCCCAGCTGCTCCATGACGCAAAACAGAAACTCCACCGCACACAGTCATAAGCTTTACAGATTTCAAGCTTGAGCATAATGAGCGGTTGACTAATATACTTTGCCCAAGAAGTGGTTTTGAGTTAAATCATTATGACGTCAAGAATGTTGCGTCCAGGGAGAAATGCAAACTGATCCGGATGAATGATGTTCGGGAGAAGGAGTTGGAGTCGAATTTGAAGCACCTTAGCGAGAATTTTATTAGAGGTATTTAATAAAGTAATTGGCCTCCAATTCGGTATCTTTCCAAGTTTCCATCCTTCGAAATCAACGCTACCAGGCCATGCGTCATGCCAAAGGGAAGTGCATCATCTGTGATAGCTTGGTGGATCATTTGGGCAAAGTCTTTGTCGAGTAACTTCCAGAAGTGTTTGTAAAATTTGATGAGGATGTCGTCAGGTCATGGATTCTTGCCTGGCGCCATGTGTTGCAGTGCCGAGAACAATTCTCCAGCGTCAGGCGGGGCGCCCAGAATCTTGAGAATGCTCGGAGAGAAATGGTCCGTGAAGGATGTAGGGATCATGTCTATCATAGAAGCTTCCATGCAATCCTAGAGCGAACCTGACGTCCCGCGATTTTCCGGTCTTGGTATTCCTGCAGGCACTCTTGACTATGGCCCTGAGCTCGGAATAAGAAATCATCATGTGGTGCATTTTGGGCAGAACAAATGAGGGATTCCACTTCAGCAAAAAGGGCGTCTTTGTCTACCGTCTTTGTTTTGCAGAAGCCACGGTAGTACCTTGTCACGCGCCGTAGTTTGGAGAAGAAAGGAGTGCCTGGCGGAGCGTTCTTCCATAGGCGTACAATTTCCTCTACTACGTCGTTGAACCATTGACTACTCATTTTCCAGTGAGTAACACGGCGCTGCTGTATTGCAAACTGGATAGTAGCGAAGACAAGATGGTGATCAGATCAAACTATATCGCCGCGGATGGAGTATTCGAGGAGGATCCGATCAGCAACTCCGGGGTAGGCTTCAAACATGTACAACCTGTTTAGTCGTGCAAGTGAATAGGCTGCTTGAGGCCGTTGATTATCACATGAAAATGGAAGACTATGAGCCGACAAGGGAGGTTCATCAACTTTCAAGACACCCTTCATGCCGTTGAAGATGATCCGCTTGCGCATAAGGACAAGGGCTGCGCTTTGACATGTTTTATCGGCACGTCTCTCCACCATATTAAAATCTCCCAAAAGAATCCAACGGCATGTTTGAGGCAGGTTTTGTGCTAATGCTTCCCACAACAAGCAACGTGAAAGCGAGTCATTCGGTGCGTAGATGTTGGCAAAGCCCACATCAACATCAAGCAAGCCTTGGAGAATGAGCCACTGGACTCGATTAGCAAGGAGGTAACCTGTAGCACCGACTTTGTGACTCCAGCGCAGGTGGAGTATGGTGAGGACGCCGCCGCAGCTAGCGCCCGAATCATCATGACTGTGGTCGAATTCATGTGAGGCTTCCAGGCCAAAGCTTGGTGCGTGGCGCCATAAGCGATTGGAGACATGAGAAAGGGAGGAGCCCCGGAGTTTATGCTCCTAGATGGCAACAACGTCCGGGGAAGGAAGCAATCTCGGATATAAGATTGGAAGTTACTCACGGCAGAATCCTCATTGAGACAACGAGCGTTGAAGGAGAGAAAATGTACTTTCATTGATCACCACATGGGATACTGGCGTTCCCACCGCTACCTCGGATAGGCTTGCGAAAGCCCCACAGGTCGTAGGTGGAGGGTCTGGATGAGGCCGATGTAACAACCTGGCGCGCCATTGCTCGAAGACTGCGCACTGACGTCGGAGCTAGAGCGTCCAATAGATGTTGAGGCTGAGGCAAGTCCGAGGCCTCTAAGAAGGACAGTATGCGACTCGCGAAGCTTTGACTCTGAGCCTTGGAATGAGCCGCACCTGCAGTCATCGTCTCACCGGAACTAGAAGTCAATGTTGGGACGGCCATGTCGATTGCCTCATTAGAAGACGGTGGCGGCGTTGAGAGCCTTTGGGCAGCGTTCACAAACAGTTCAAGATCCCCTGAAGATGCCAATCAATGGGAGGGAGACTGGCCAGCCTCCTCAAGTTGGGCGCAGGTTGATGGCAAAGCCGGAGTTGGTAACAGCGCCGGCCCAGCCGGTGTTGGAAGCAGTGGGAGCAAGACCGAATCTTGACCACTATAGGAAGCTGGTGATGCCACTTTGGTACTTGGAGTTGCGGGATCATGTATCACCCGAGAGGATTCTGAAGGCGAAGAGGTCGGTCGTCTACGTGCTGACTGAGCTTGCTCAACAAGGATGCCTTCAGAATCAACCTCCATGGCACTTAGATTCGCAATTGGCAGGGATGTATTTGGTTGTGGGCCAGACTCACTAGAGAATGGGCTAGACGGAAAGGAGTTGTGTGCCATCCTGTACAGCTTTTTCATGTGACAACCGCTCTGCCAACCATTCCGGTCATAAAGAAGAGTGTCCCTTGACTCACTAGGTTCATCCATGGTCACATCAGGCGGGTCCAAGGGTTGGCGTGTTGGAGGTCACATGACCTGATGAGCTTGGAATAGCTACTATGGTGGTTTGAGAGCCTCAACGCATCCCTTGAGTTTCTGGAATCGTGTCTAGGGCCGCAGTGCATGCTTGAGGCGGCTGAATGTCCCATACCGAAGGTCTGCGTCTTTGGTGTGATGGTCGTGACGCCTGGCTAGGTGAGCCACTCGGGGCCGGTGGCAGTGCTTGGTGGCGTGCTGGCGACGTGGGGGTCGGCAAAAGCCTTTGTGACGGGTCGCGGAGCTCGCTCGCAGGCAATTCGTCAAATCGAGAGGGACGTCGGCGCCGAGGTTGAACTGGAACGAAACCATCTGCATCCGAGAGATGAAACATGAGTAGTCGGGGTTGGGAGGAGTATTGCCAATGATGCCATCGGTGGCGACGGGGCTGGGCCCGAGGGGGTCATGGAGGCCGCTGGTACTATTTCCCACGAGGTAGTAGTTCAGGCAGCCGTTGCCGATGTGTAGCTTGGGGAGTTTGTCGTTGAATTTCTTCAGCCGGACAAGGTCCCAGTCGGTTCTCTCTTGACGTTTGACGCAGTCTTGGTGGGGCAGGCTGTCGAGTGATGTTGGTGATTGCCAAAGATTTGGCAATACAACTCCATCGCTTGATAGTGAATGCCGATGGTTGCACTACCTCCTGCCTCACTGTACCCAATCACATTAGTAATCCAGCCATGGCGAATGTCAAGTCCTACACAAAAGCGAGGGATTCTGGGGGCCTATCATTGTCCTTGGCAAATATTAGAAGAAGTTGCGCAGCGAAGAAGCTGGCAATGCGTTGAAATATTAGTGGGAGGTCCGGCAAGGTTATTCACGTCGTCCAGAGGATTCCGAGAGGCAAGCGCGGATTGAAGCCTCGGGACCAACGTTGATAGAACACCGCTCCATCTTGGAATCTATGAAGAGCACACATGAGTAGGCGGTGCGTGGTGGCAGCGCCATAAGTCCGAACATAAGCAAACGACTGCCCGACTAAGCGATACGAATGAACAATGCCCGGGTGAGCTAGTTGAATGAAGAAGTTATGCATGTGTTCGCCTGTGGCGCAATTCAACGTCCCCTCTACAGTGCACGCTAGAACCACCTGGTCGCCAAGTGAAGGGATTTCTTGAGCTACGGTGGCTTGGTCAGCGGGAGAAAGCGTGAAGGATACCGCGCCGCGAATGACAATCCTTTGGTAGTTGCGAAACATGCCTCGTGGAAGTATTTCTCGAGCATGCCTCCGGAGCGGGTCCAAGGGGCCGTGTCAAAGTTGTCAGTAGCCAGGGCGACTGTCAAGAAGTCCAAGGTATGAGAAACGTGGTCAGAGGAAGATAACGCGCGAGCTCCATTGTGGAGAACCGCCTTGTAAGTGGCACGGACGGGTTGCACGGTAAACCCTAAGAAGCTCGTTCTTCTCATGGGAGAGTACCTTGGGATCAAGGAAACTCTCAATTCACTCGTCAATCGATGCCGCTCACGGTTCTGAATTTGCTAGCTCGAAATGTCTCACTGTGCAAGCACTACAGGGCGCTCTGCTGTGGCGGCGGTCGTGCGCCTTCGTCCGTCATCGCCATCACCTCCTCGAGCTCCTGATATGCCATACAGTAAAGTTTGAAGGAAAACTAGTATGGAACATAGTTTTGAAAAAGTGAATTTGATGATTGGGTGGATATACCCATGAGATATTTTGTGTTGTTCATGGGTTCTATCAAGTAATTTTCTTCCAATTTAGCTTTACTTCTAATCGGCTTCATCATTTTCTGTTCAATCTCTGATAGAGCAAAAACACTAATTGATGTTTGTCACATGACCGTCATTTTTTGCTCTATTTGTCGCATTCTTTATGTTAGAGTAATATGTTATCGTAAGAGAAGAGATTTTTTTTTCACACAAGTTTTATATTAATCTTAGAATATTGTGAACATATTTATATAAATCATTCAAGAAAATGATCTCCATATCAATTAACTTCCCAGTGCATTTTGAACTTCTGCGTAACAATGAGTTTAAAACAACACTTTCTGACTTGAGTAACGTCTAATCTTTTTTTTTTTAAAAAAACATATATTTAAATTGATGATGTCAACTCTTGAAAAAAAGAGAGGCATATACTCAATAAATTGATAGTAACTAGTGATGACACAATAAAATATACATTCTACATGGTACCATTCTGGTTATAACATTAAATCAAGTCACTTAGAGTTAATTATAATTATAGAGTTACTAAATACAACTCAAAAGACAGATTTGCCATGCTAACAAAAATGCTATCAGCATGAAATCTTATTTTGTTTATATATTTGTGTGCCAAATATTTGAGTTTTTCAAACTTAATAATCTCATGAATTGACATGATAATTTTTATTGTGTACAATATGTAAAGTCCAGATTTAAATATTAATTTATCTATATTTTCGATGTAGTAAACGATATTTTATTATCAAGTAATAATGTAAATTTATATTTTATAAAAATTAATAATATTTAATTACTATAAAAATATTACAATTATTCTATATGATATAACTGTTAAGTGTATATTATACATTTTATTTTTATGTTATGTGGTTTTTAAAAATTATAAAAAAAATATATCTATATTTTAGATTAAGTTTTATTTCATAAAATTCTTTAAAAATATGAGATTATTAAAAAAAAATATAATATACCAAATCGTATGATATGCAAAAATATGTAATACATTCAAATTAAAGTTATTCTAAATTTATATGGATTGATGTTGATCAAATAATTTGATATAATAATGATCAAACATAATAAAAACAGAATTTTCATGTCATGTTCAAAATGTATTTGATAATTTGTAATCAAAAGTATAATCGTATATTTGAAGAGTTTGAAATGGGTACTAATCAACTTCAAGCCATGTTATATTGTAATCTTCTTATTGTGGAGTTGATTCAATACATCTCATTGTATATGAGTATTCGAATTTTACATATTTAAAGAAATTAACAGAAAGTCCAGATATTCAACATGAATCGACTGAAATAATTTCGAAAACGTAAATTAGAGTATAATATAAATAAATCGAGAAACCTTTTGAAAAATGACAATTTAAATTCTAATAACGAGAGCTTGACAAATTTGAAATCCCCAAACCCTAACATTTCAAACTCAGTAGATGGGTTGATTCTTGTACGTTGGAAGAGTATGCAACGTTCTAGGTATTTGGCGGTTTTATCGAAGCCCCGTTTCCCGTCAATTTACATTTGGCATGCCATAAAATCAATCGCGCAAATGCGTAAAGCATATTCCTAAATTGAGCCAGGTTGGAGGACGAGCGTTCCGGGCAGCGCGGAGCGAGGCGCAGAGATTTGAAAATTTGAAATGGCAGCGTGGGCGAGGGGAGATCAGCACCCGTTGCAGGACGCGGTGGCGATGGGGCTGGGAGTCATGGTGGGGCTCGAGCTTTTGTGCAGGCTTTGGTGAAGGCGAGCGAGAGCAGGCAGGCTAGCAGGAAGGCAGTTCATGGCCATGGTGCTGTTCAAGGACGAGGACGACGAGGTTTTGTACGACGACGTGCTGCTGGCAGCGGTGGACGCAGCGGTGTCGAGGCAATTGCGACGCACTTCGCAGCACGCTGCAGCTCCGGCTTTGACCTTGCCTGCGCCGCCGAAGAAGCTCATGTCCGCGCATTCTCCCCACCAGAATTTTCCCAGGGCTGGAGCAGGCGGCGGTCACGACTTTCCGAAGCCCGGGGCTTTCGCAGGAGGAGCTGGGGTTGGTGTGGATTCGAAGCAGCAAGCAGCAGCAAACTGGAGCAATGGCCGCAGGCCTTTGCAAGAATTGGCACCCTCTGTCGGTAGGCGCTGGGTCGATTCGCACGAAATGGTCGAGAGGCCATCAAGCACCATGTGGGTACAGGCTGAGGTCTGCAGCCCGACGAAAGAGCGCGAGGGCTCCTGGTTCTCTGGGTTGGCTGGGGTGTCCATGTTCAAGGAATGCCAGGACGCCGCTATGAAGGTCAGTGCACTCTGTCCCGAAGACTACAAGCTGAGTAGACTGTTCCCCTGTTGGGCTCCAGTTAAGCTCTGCCTTCCTTCGATTTCCAAATGAGTGCATGTTTGTCTCGTAAGAAAGCCAATCTAGTGGCCGCAAATCTCGTGGAAGCTCGTCCTCTGCAGATGTTAAAAAAATATCAGAACGCTGCAGGTTGCCAGCAGTTAATCTGACATGATTTGTAATTTTCAGACGCTGGTGCCAAGTGATTACATGATGATGCAAGGGAAACCCTTCATTAAGAAATCTGGTTAGAGTTCATCTCCGTATCATCTCGTGGAGTTTTTCGATTTCAATCAGTATTTGGTCGATTCTTCCATGGCTGTGCTATGTAGCCAGTTCAACTGCTTGCTAATGTTATCGTGGCATTACCCTTGATTCTCAGGCTGGAGGAAAATTGCCTTCTTCTTCAATATCTCGTTCGAGATTAAGGATAAAAATATACAATTCGACAGCAACTCCAATGTACTCCGAGCTGAATTTGTAGTGCGGGCGAGCATGCCGTATGTACCCAACTTTTTCTCTGGATTGAATCGTTCTGCAGTTTCATATAGTGCTCAGGAACGGTTTGTAGGCTGTATGACCTTCACGTCCTCCTGAACTTCTCCTGTGATGGTACGTTGAGTACAGGACTGGGCGGTTTACAGACTCCTGGGGTTCATGTGATCGTGGAGAGAAAAGGTTTTCTAAACCGAACCATGACATTCCCAGCACAGCAGAGACGCGGGCCAAGACCAGAGCATGTCAGGTATATCATAATGAATCTGGCCGCGTCATTCCGCTGAAAAACTTTCGATATGCTTAAACTCTGTTGAGTATTATTGCTCTTTACTTCTATTCTGTAGCTGTTGGAATGATTTTGACACTTCAATGGTTTCTGCTGTTCCAGGATCTGCTCGGCATCGGGGAGTATAAGCTAGATGGTGGGGCACATTGATATATAGCATGCAGCGAAGGCATTTGGAGAGTCAGATGAAACGAAGTTCGTTGGCAACAAAAGTTGCACAATACTTTTTGACACCCCTACATTAGTCGTAACATCCTCATCAATATCGTAATCCTCGACTGAAAGTTAAGGTCACAATGTAATATAAGGGAGTTTTCTTTGGAAATTCGATACACCAATTTACTTGTTGAGATTACATCTACAGGCACATTAGTGACATCTTACTCTAAAATGCACAGAAGTATCGCACCCCTTCATGTCCAACTTGATTTCCTCACGTTGAAAGCTGCGCTTGTTAAAGCATGTCATGTCGTTGATTAGGCATGTCGTGTGGTTTTTCATCGATGTCACTGCATTATCGTAACATCCGTCTCAACAAAAAGTATTCACAATCCCAATATATCCACACATCGCTATACTAAGATTGCCTACTCTGATTTTAAACCCCTCGGAAGGCTTCACACTAATTAAGTACTCATTTCGGTAGGTTTTATAAAAAAAGTAAGTCACAATAACGATAGGTACATGAAATGAGCCCTTATATTCTGTAAACATCAAGTGATTCGCGAATTTGAACTTGGATTTTAGAATGGTAAATCCCAAGGAAAACAAATGATGCCTTGCTCGCACTGCAGTTTGAAGCCTCTTCAGTGAACAATGGTTGAGAGAAAATACCAGTTAGCTTATTTACTGGGGCTCACACCAAACAAGCTCATCCAGTAGTTACGGCGATGCTTGTAGAACAATAGGTGAAGATGAAATTAAGATGATAGATACATTTGACAGATGCAGTCGAATAACCACAATGCACGCGGTTCGTCATTTCCGTCATTTTGCACGCTTTATTACTCTTGACCCCTTCTTACCGACCGTATTCTACACATGGTTTACAAAATTTGCTTCACAGGTCAACTCCTCCACGCAGAGGACTCCTCAAGTTCGAGATCGTCTTCCCACCACGTAGATGTCTGCATACGAAGAAGCAAATCACCATGAATAAAACTGATGTCAAGAGTTTGAAAGGTTTCATGACGTAGATAAATTTCCCAGGGACTTCTCGCTCACCTTGTAACCTCGTCTAAGAAACGCCAACGTTGAACCTTCCTCCTCTTGGAGACCTAATGACGTCAGCAGTTCTTCCTTGGTCTGCGTAGTCACAGGCAGCGGTAAGTATTCAAGCACCCAACGTGCTCATCCATGTATCAGAAACTGGTAAATGACTTGGTGGAACTACCTGTCCCAAGGTGTATCTTTCTTTGGCTTCAGCTACGCAGGCATAAGAACCATCGACCTGTTTCAGCATCACCTGCCATGGGCCTGCGGAGCACAAACACAATCTCCCACTTGACAGAAGTCCAGAGAAAAGCAGTTCTGAGGTCGGTATGCCATGAGCTTCTCGTTCTCACGTGCTCGGCTTCCCAAAACTCTGAAGATTGGTCCAGTTAGAGCTTAGACTCTGAGTTGCACTAAAGTCCGTGCACACACCTGGATACTTGCGGAAAAGAGCTCCGCTATAGTTGAGGATGAATGGCGCAACAGGAATACTCTGAAGCCAGGAGATTAGACAAAGTCAGTTTCTGTAAAGCTCAATAAAGATATGAGAATATGTCAAAATCGGCAAAATTTGAAGAAATATTACCTTGGAGTAGTCTCTCTGTCGAATGTAGAACACAGGCATATATTGCGCAAGAAATCGGTAGTGTATATCCTTAGTCGGGAAACCAAATAGGCCAAGATCTGATCTGTAGGCATTTTGGACAAATATCAAATGAGTGGCACGTCTCATGAGATGGTAAATGGAAGGTAGATGGTAGTAGCAACCGCACTTATCCTTCCGAGCAGACCAGATAAAATCACATCTGCATTCGGTGCAAGAGGTTGCATACCTCAATGTATCGGTCTCTAGATTGAAGAGGATGACCGGGGAACTCTTTGCAAATGTTTCCTGCAGGGAAAAGTGCAGAGCGCTAAGCTCAAAAGAATGTCCATCTAGAAACGATCTCTCTCGTACATCATGATGCACCGTAAGAAACTGGCAGTCGAAAGTTATTGTTGTGGCAATCCGTTCATGTAACTTCGAGAGGAAAGAAGAACTTAACGAGGGTATAAGAACTTACCACATATTGCTCCACAGCAGGCAGCTCATTGGTGGTACAGTTTACGATAATGTATACATCTGGCGAATCATTCTGTTGTCCTGTACACAACCGCAGATGAGATGATCATACATTTGTTCGAAAGTACTAACGAACTTAACTTGGGTCGCTGATGTTAGATACGAATAAAGACGAGGATAAACCAAATTGTGAAAAACTGTAGAAGCAAGATGCGAATACCTTCCACATCTTCTTCAAAATCGAAGTCAAAGACACTTCTTAGTTGTCCAAGAATAGATTTCCCTGCTCCTCCAGGAACATCATCTAAACAGCCGAAGCTGATGCACGTCGTCTACAAGAGTGCAGATCAATTTCACAATATGAGACACCTCAATGCGTAGATACTTGGGATTCGAAGTGGCAGTATAATTAAATTATTGCGGGATCATCTCGACAAGTATCTACAACATCTTCTTGAGGCGACAGGATCAAGAAACCCAAAGAGTGACCGAGAGGTAGTGCAGAAAGTCTAGATAGATTCTCACGAGTTCTAGAGCAGACTTGAAAAGTCGTGAAGCCCTCCGTCTCTCTGGCTGATCTGGAAAAATCTGCAAGCAGCACGGTGTAGCTTCTCAGACATCAGAATCATTATTACCAACAGCTGGCACATGTTCATATTACGTTATATATAATGCTCCAAATAAGAACGTTCTTAATCAAAAAAGTATTATAGTAGGAACCTGAACCTACGATTTTTGAAGAAATCCCCTTCAATTCATTCAATTTCCGACCCAAGGTGACCGCCAGCTGAATGTTTGCATCTATAAACTCGTCTGATTGTCCCTGCGGATCATAATGTCCATGGAAAGAATAGGCAGTAAGTATGGGTTCGGCAGTGGGGTCAACTACAGCAAGTAATTCCATCTTATCATTTATTTAAAAAAGAGAAAGAGGCCATCGAAGATAACAGGCACCTTGTAGCCGGACACGCTGCTGGGCAATGGTCTGGATGTCGTCAATCAACAGAAGTGCAGAAACAAATAGTTATTAGAACTTTCCCAAACACTTTGCCTCTAGATCGCAGTTTGAGCGAGGCAGTATTATCCTTCAGAAAACGCTACTCGTCTCTCATGCAACACTCTGGTGTTTTGTGCGCCCTGGAGCGGCTAAACAAAGCGCAAAAGTAAGAAACTCAATGAAAGAAGTGTAAATAAAAAGTATCAGATGAGAATTCAAGAATGAAAATTTCTTTGAAAGGAGCTCGGAAAATGCTTACGGAAAATCAACTTCCATGCGTAGTTTCCCTTCCTCGAGAGCGAAGGCTACTGCCGAAGACGCATCTGCGAGATGAGCAAATTCCGTTTTCAGCAGAGTACGCGAACGTACATCTCAAGAACCACGTTCAGAAATTCCGCGCTAGAATTCAGCAAAAAGAATTACGGCACGGACGATTTCATCCCTAAGATTGAAATCAGAGCTTCGCAGCACAATACGCCGAGCCACAGGGCGGAATTGAAACATGCACATCCCAGACAGAGGTGGAGGAGGTGCAATACCGGAAACCAAGACGTCATACGAGGCTGGCTTATAAACATCCACTCCAGATGCTGCCGACCCACTCGCCCCTTCCTCGACTCGAGCCGCTGCGGGAACGACATGAACACAACGTCCGCGGGTCAATTTCAGAGGACTCTGCGCCTGCCAGGCACAGCCGCATGGCACTCCAGCAGGAACGCGCGACAATCTGGAGGGAAACGCGCATCCCTCGAACACGCTCACGACGTCTCGCGCGACGGGAGCAACCGCGATTCCAATTCCAGCGCTGGCCGTGAGCGCCATTGAATCGCACTCTGGCTCCGCCTCGTCTGCTCTGCTCTGCCTCGCAGGACGACTCGTCGCCCTTCGTCATCGCGCTTCGAGAAGAGGCGATAAAGAGCTTATCCTCTCCCCTGCCGTGGCCGAAGGAGGCCTCTGGACCGGACTTCGCCGCCAACTTGGCCCCGTAGCCATCCCTCCAAAGGCTACGAAGAGTTCGCTCCCAGAGCTGCTAAACTACTTGGCTCCATTGTTTTAGAACCTCGGGGACGGGCCTAAATTAAGCCTTGGTCCGGGACCTACTGCGAAGTCGAAGTTGGCGCGACGTCCGGAGCCGAAACTTCTTGGTCCGGCGTTTCGTTCGATCGATGGGTGGCGATGGTGACGACGATTAATCGGTCAGCAATTGCAAGCATTCTGAGTTCCGATCAGAGCGGGAAGTATCGCACAACGGAACGAAGAGGGAAGAGGAAGGGAAACAGCGACGCATGGATGCAATTGAACTCTTTGTCGTGCTCAGAGGCGACGATGGTGGACGGGACGGGACGGGGCGACAGTCATCCAGCTCATGAACATGAAATCCATTCTTGGCCATCAGAAAGAAATAACTGGCCCGTGTGACAAACGGATCTCAGCATGTGCTCATCGTTCACATTGCAGAATTGACTTCTTGCATGCTGCTCGCATTTCACTAGCACATCCAGAGAGTCAATGTGTGTGCAGAGAGAAGTCTTGTTCTTCAAGGGCTCGTGGCGCTCAACACTTCTTTCGGTAAAAATATATTACAGACTACAGCTTTCGAGGTTGAATCACTAACTATTGAGGGAACTGGCGTGCAAGGGGACAACAATATCCTTTCACCCGATCCTGAACATGTGAAAAGCACAACTGGTGCGTGCACAGAGAAGTCCAGTGACGTAGAGACAGATTACAGTCTACGATTCGGCGGTTGATCCCGTGGAGGTGACAATTGTGTCTACTCCCACCAACACCTGAGCATGCGAAATGCAGCTCGTCGGCTCACGGGTTGGCTGCTATCTCACTCCGAGAAGAAGCCCTTGTCGGCGAGGTACTGGATGACAGTCCAAGCCATCTGGTCGGGAGAAACTGGTCCACCTTTCTCGTCGACGTCGTGGATAGTGATTTCAGGAGTCTCGGGCTTTTCGTAGGGGTCATCAATGCCCGTGAAGCCCTTGATGACTCCTGCTCGAGCGAGCTTGTACAAGCCTTTGGCGTCTCGACGCTCGCAAACCTCCAGAGGAACATTCATGAACACTTCGATGAAGTGGCCGGGAGGAACCATCTCCCGGACGATGTCCCGGTCTCGTTTGTACGGGGATATGAAACTGACGAGCGTGATGAGTCCAGCATCGGCGAAGAGCGTGGCCACCTCTCCAACTCTTCGGATGTTCTCCTGCCTATCAGCTGCAGAAAATCCCAGGTCTTTGCACAGACCGTGTCGAATGTTGTCCCCGTCGAGGACGTACGTCAGCTTTCCCATGGCCATCATCGTTCGATCCATGGTGAATGCCAGCGTGCTCTTCCCCGCTCCGCTCAGCCCAGTGATCCATACAATGCAGCCCTTCTGATGCAGCAGTTTTCGTCGGTCCTCCTTCGTCACGCTCGTTTCCTGCAATCGAACGCCCTTGGAATTCGACGAGCACACCGTCAATCCAGGCCTCCGAGCGATCTCCAGAACACCCCGAGACTTCCGCTTGGCACTCGGAAATTGGAGACCGCTCAAGTTGCTGCAACCTTGACTGCTGGAGAGTGTTGTACGATTCCGAAGCCAGGGAGCCAGAGTTGAACGCGGTTGCAGAGTTGCCATGCCTCGATCGTGGAGATGAAGCGGCGGTGGTCGACTGTCGCTGGGTGTTATGTGATCAGCGGTTCCCCTCGTCTGAATACACGTCAAAGCATCTCTACGTTACAGATCATCCAGTTCTAAAACGAAAAATATCGGGATTGAAACTCCGTCTACATCTGAGGATACTTTCCTACTCATTGGCGACCAAAATCTCGGCAGATCGTTCTGTTGCCCGATCGTCATCAATTGAACGACGTCCTTAATCGGTACATTACGCCCTTCGAATGGGCCCAGTTGAAAGATGAGGTACAGATCGCGAACAATCAAGCCCGCAGGCAGACCACGAATAGTTTTGTCTGCTGCGATTGCGTAGTGTCGTTCCGCTTGTGGCTGATTCTCACGAAGAAACGGCCACTCTACCTTTGATGTCTGTGCAAATCGTAGCGTTGCTCGGAACAATCACTGGTACGCGAACAAATTGTTTCCCAGATGGGAAATTTTTCCCACCAGAAGTCTACTCGCAATAACCGCGATCGGTATGATTCCCACGTCCACGACAACGGTGAAGACAGGTTCATGCACCTCAGAGTCTTCACTCATAAGCTGTTGGGGAAGTAGTCAAATCACATAACAGCACTCAGAAATGCTCATCACAGCACAAAGTCCGATTACTAAAATAAAATAATATTACAATATAAATCTTAATATCATACGGACACCATCTACCGACCCACGTTCTCACCTGCCCGGGTAAAAATAGTGGTACGTGTAATAGACTAGTTTATGGAGGCAAGAGGAGCAGGGAAACGATTCACTAAGACGATTCACTTCACGAATGAGCGTTCTCTCCATACAGTTCTACTTTTACTCAGATGTCCCGGTACTCCCTTTGCCGGCGAGAACAGTTTAGACGTGAACCATCATGACCGAAGGCTCGATTCGCTGTACTGCAGATCTATTACATGATTTGATCCGCTCCACTCGGAAACGGAAATTTCTTAAGAACTCTTCATTAAGCATCCCATGAAGTCCCATAATCAGCCTTGTCATCAGGCTTGTTGAGATGCGCGATTTTTCTGGACATCTCCACTTGAACCGGAAATATACAAAACAACTCAGTGTGAGACCTACGTCACAAATCGTCTCTCAAGTAGCTTTCCTTCAGATTTTGTAGGTAGTTTCGCAAGTTTGATTCGGTTATCTTCGAATACTGCAAGCACAAAAGTCTCTGTGCAACATGATAGTCCTTCTGCTGTGGATAAGAATTAGACTGACCAAGCCGCACTCTAGCTTTTTCCTGATGCACAGAATTCAATTCGTTGCATGAGCAGCTCAAGTCAGTTTTTCTTCGCAAAGATTGCACCCAAGTACTTAGACTTGAATTTCTCCCGCTTAGTGATGCATTGTAGGTGCAACCTGAAAACCTTCCAGCGCAACAGACCTCGCAGAACTATATACATCATATTCCTTGAATGTTATTTCATACTGCCAGTAGGAAATAACATCTTCCACACACTACTTTTTTGGCGTTTTCAAACCACTGCACCGAAATCAGAACCTTGTACTCATGATTGCTTCTGTATTCTTTGAGTTGGATTCGAAGATGGTTAAAAAAATACACAAGTTTCCCTTTAGATTTGTGAATCTACCTTCTCTTGAAGTTTTGCCGTGATTTTTCTAGCATTTTCCACCACAGAATCTGGAAATCCAGAAATTTCTGCCAGCAGAAGTCCATAGTGTGGACAACTTGTATGTCCTTCCTTTAACACGTACTGCACGGTGTAGAAGGAAAGTAAGACAACATGAGATGAACTACTTTTTATTAAAAATTAGTTTGACTACTATTAATACTAATTTGTAGGTAATGTATAAGGATTATCAAATTGAATACATGCTTTAGAAATGACTGCAATGCCATGACCAACATCACATTTCGAAACACATTACCTTGAATTCAAGTCTTTTATCCGTAATAGCAACTGACAAGTAACAGGTTTTTACGTTTGGGTATATGCTGGATAATTCAGCCAGCCTTTCCATGTGTGTTGCAAAAATCGTGTAACTGCAATGTAAGCAGGAGTGATTTTGTCTCAAGTCAAGTAAACTGCTGAGGAATCGAAAACAAATACACATTATTTGAACTAGATAAATAGTACTCAATCGAACTTGCATCGGACTCGAATGTATGCAAGAATGAGTGATGAGAAATACGCTTTCAAAGATAGCAGATATTCGCTGCAACTCCAAGCTATAGCAAGACCATCCAAAGTAGAAGTTCCTCTCCCCAACTCGTCGATAAGGATCAGGCTTCTGACAAATTGAAGTTATCGTTCACTTTTTGCAGATTAGTAGTTTTAAATGAGAACAAAAAAAGCCCGATATTCTTGGCTGGAATCTAAAGGACAACGTAGACATAAGCAATCAAATCTGCAACATTCTGGTAAGAGTCATGGTAACCATACCTGTCACTTATGTTTTGTAGAATGAATGAGGTTTCCCTCATTTCCGTCATGAACTGATTTGCCGTGCATGATGTTCAAGTTTTTAGTTACGAATTCCATTAGCTGATGCCCGAGACAGGAAACTAAATAGTTCCAATATCTTTGGAAGTGAAGGTCCCCCCTACGCCATTGGCATCATATCTTTAACACTCTTCGAAATACGGTCCCTACTCTCGAGATTACCCACAATAAAGAGCTATCGGTTTTATATAGAAGGTCTCATCCCGAAATACATCAAACATAGCCTACTAACCTCATCGATGTAAAAGTTGCTAATTTCTCCAGAGAAGTCTAAAAATACTGAATAATCTTCAAGATTTGATTGAGATGTACGTAACTGTGCTTGCGTTGAGCTCGAGGTTATCGCCTGTGCCGATTCTAGTGAAAATGTGATCAACGATGCGGAAGGAAGCAAAGCCGGCAGGCACATAGCACCCAATATGGGCCATAATCGTTATCAGTGCTACTTGCCGCAAATGTGTACTCTTTCCGCTCCTGGACGTGGCTTTGGGTCAGCTCTTGAGTTCGATTGTTATGCCAGGTTGCAAACACAGTGGAATATGATGAAGAAATCTAAAGCAACTACCAAGTTGTACTTACATATTTGGACCTGTGATAATGACCAGGTTGGTAGCTTCCGACATGAAAGTGTTATTCGGCTGCACTCAAAGGCGCATTTAGTTCTCTGAGTTTGATATATTTATCTACTGGGCGGAAAGTTGCGATGCCAATGACTCTAAGATACTTGGGACCCTCATTATCTTATCCTCTAAACAACATGCTGCCATGAAGGGTCAAGACGATGGAGCAAATGCCAAGAAACAAACCAAAGGTTTACGATCAGTGCCGTTTAGGATGACGTACCACGAAATCCTCAAACTGAATGCTTTCTAGGAGGGGATGCCGACCAGCTTCAATGGCAATTGGACCGTTCTCTGACCAGGAAGAGTTTAGGAAAAAGTTAAGGATCGGTCGACAAAACTAAGGAGAAATTCTTTGAAGACTTTTACCACAGATGCTAACACTGACAACATCTTTACTCAATCCAGCCGAGAATTAGGTGGATCTGTTGAAGAGTAAAATTATCCACCTGTGAAATCGGGCCGAGTATACACCGCAGGCAGTTTTGTTATTATCGTATTTGCGAACGAGTTTACCATCATATCCAACAGAGACAAGGACTCTGCGAGTAATGCTAGAGAGCGAACGTCCCCGCTTATGTAATTGATGAGATCTAGCCATTACAAAGCATGAAAGTTCGTGAGATTTCCAACCGGGAAATGCGGTAGTTATTCGTTTCCCGATGAGGTATGTGCCATATGAGAAGAAGACCAACGGAGGAAAAAAAGTCACACAACGGGGATGTTTGAGCCAGTACACGGACTAAGTAAATGCAACATACCCTCTAAACATTGCTCTGTCCGGACGTAGCATTCTGCCGCAGCTTCCTGATTTCTGCTATTTAACTGTAGAGAAAACTATTCTACTGTTAGATGTTGTCGGTTGGCATGTAAAGACTATTTGAAAGTAGAATCTGATTAAATTTGACTCTACGATCACATCAGTTTCTTTGATAAAATCACATGGACTAGTTACAAAAAGTAATTTGTACGTACCGACATCAACTCGTCAGTTGAACAGCAGAAATTTTTCCCTCTTTTAACGACCTGAATAGCAGCAGTACCTCATTAAATTGCTTATGTTTGAGTGAGTGAGATGCAGAAGATGCTTCAACACTGCATGAATGGACGCAGGTCACACAAGCACTTCCTATATCTTGAAGAAGAGTTGTGCTAAATACCTGGAGAAATACATTTGGGAGACAATTCTGCTGCAGATCCGACTCTGAAATAACGATGTGAAAGCCCTGTCGCTGGTTGTAGACTAGCCTTAATTTCGGCATATCAAACTCTTTCTGATATTTGATCCCGAGCTCGTGGATGGCTGCAAGTAGGTGGACGGAATGGTAGACCTCTGCGAACATCCTTATGAAAAAATAGTAACAGTCACGAATGGGTGTTACAGCGAAAGAATCAAACCTTCACTGGTCGTGCAGAACGACTTTCTTGCGAGGTCCAACATACAATCCACCCCGTACTTTACAGCAAAGCACTGCTGTGTGCGTGCGGTAAAAGCAGATCGTGCATGCATGGCATCATCGGAGATAACTTCTGATATCCTGGAAAAATTGCAGGTTTACGGTTGGTGAAATTTTAACACATAGGTGTAATGATATCTTATGTATGATCCTGATCACAACCCTGATCAGGCTCAGAATATTAGTATAGAGCCCAATATCTTTTCAGTCAACTAAACGCTCGTACAGAGTAATGAAATATAGGCTTGCTTGAGGTTCCTTTCTCTTCTGCACCGTACCTTTCCTTGAGGACACTGTAGGCCGAATTTGACGAAAGAGAAGCTCTAATATTGCACAGCAGAGAACTTTTGGCATCCTGGAGAACCTGTATCCGGCGGAAACATTATCATCAGCTATTTTTTGGGTTTAGGGTATTATTTTTCTTAGATCGGACTAATCATCCACATTCTGATCCTTCTTCGAGTGTAAAAATTAAGACAAAACTACAAACTAGTTTCAAGCGCAGGAAGAGGACGGGGTATATGGGTCATAATACAAGACCTTTGAAAGAAGGGGCAGTAGGTCCAGTGCTTCTTTCAATAGAATAATCGCAGCTACTAAAACTTGGCTTCTTCTTGTGCTAGCTGTTGTATCAACCGAGCCTTTCTTCTGCCTGAAGCAAAAGCTGCAAAGCACGCGGTCTTCACAGACGTAATACAGTACTCAGTAGTATAGCAACATGCACTTCTAGAAGTTTGAATTCATTGTAATTTGAAGTTTGTTGTTCACTAGAATTTATGGCAAACAACCAACCGGTGTCTTTGGGGAATTTCTGAATCACGTCTGACAGGCCGAAGAATAGTTGCTCATTATTGGTGAGCTCGTCCTGATTGGTACATCGAAGTTTGAAAAGGATTAATTCTGCTCTTTTGCGAGAGCGAACGGAGGCAAGAATACAGGAAAAAATGTGGTGTTTTAGTGCCTGCTCTAGCTAAGGTTACAATCCACGTTGGGGATGCAATATTTAGGAAATAAAATTGAAGGCGAACCGAAGTCCTTACCAGAGAGTCGAGACGCGTAGTTATTGTTTCGATATCTTTCAAAGGCTGTAACAGATTAGCTCTGAGGAGGCGAGCTCTGGAAAATTAGGACGAATCGTGAGTATTCAAAGAACATCGCCAGTTTACAGGAATCTTTAAAAATCTATCTTCTTATTTGAACTGCTATTTTTCCATTGTCCGGAGAGGACGACGGTGAAAATTCCTATTGCTCCATCGATGCTATTAAGATACTGGGATGTGAACTGGCAGCAATAACTTACAAATGAACCAAATTTCAACCTTTTCTGATGAAGAAGAAGTTTAGCAGTGGTATGAATAGAAGTCGAAATTAGTCAATGATCCAGGGAACAAGATACTTTTCTTGCAAAAATTGACGATAACTCGAGAATAGCTTCTGTGCTGATCATGTAAAGATAACATATTCTTTCAAGATTGACATAGCTCGCGGAAAAAGAAAAAATTCATGGTCATGGTGTATAAAAGCTCGGCAACGCGTATCGTGCTTTTCAGGAAGCTTTTCAAATTTGCAAAATGATCGGTTTCAAATGATTTGAATCAGGTTCCTAAAGTGGATAAATTCATTTCTACACCGGAAGAAATTGAATATACAAGTGAAATTACATCACGTTTATAATGAGCTCTTGAAAACATTCATTTCTGGTGGAGTAATTTCGTCTCCGAGTCAGGTTATAAGATTATAATTTCAGGTACGTAGACATTAACAAGGATAGAGACTCTCTTTAGAAACTAGTTGCGAAAGATCGATCTGGAATATGTACCCGCCAACGGTCTTTGTAGTGTTGAGCATGTTGTAAAGGCTGCTTCTATTTCTTTTCTGCTTGATCGAGTCAAGAACAAGAGGTTCGATCACCTCAAGATTTTCAATACTGCATTGGCAACCAGAGGCCATAAGTTGGACGTGTGAATGCAGATACAAATGAACATTTCATTTTGATGTTTTGAAATAAAGAATTGTTAGGAATATGATTGAGCTTGCCAAGGAGTACAAGCTCGCAGACATCATATCCTAAAATGGATTTGTAACGAATATATTCTCCATCGTGATATAACTCTTGCATCGGAGTTATCAGGCTCACATGGGTCCCTTATGAAAATTCTGATCAGAGAATCCACTTTCTGCATTGAAAAGGGCCTCAAGTTCATGCACTTAAACTAGTGAGAACCTAACAACCTCGCGTACTATACAGCGTACCTTGTCGCATCAATACTCATATGATCGAATGATCCGTTGAAAGTTATCTGATAACATCAAATTGTCAAAGTTCGCAGAAGCAATTCCGATCGAATGAACGGACTCCACTTGTACCGTTTAGTCATATCCGCTAGTTCATACACAAATTGAACTTTTCAAAAATCAATCCCATCAGCTAATCTCATATTTCTGAATAAATAGAAATGCAAAACCTGGAGCGAGTTTTTGGTTATGATAAAGCCATGCTCAACTTCGATCCTGTGAAAACAGTAAAATTCAAGAGTTAGTAGTTACCGTTGTTATCAATACGTGAATCAGTTAGCATGTTCAAGAATTTTAATCATCGAATGCTTCAGGGAGCAGCCAACTCACCACTTCAAGACTGCTGCAGCGGCACCAAGACAAAGATAGAACTGTTTGTGATAATTCTCTGAGAAAATCGCCCTTGTTTCTTTCGCTGCAACGTTTTGTAACATCGTTGCACCCTACACATTGAATTGAGTAGATTACGCAGGAAACCTCTTGAGAGAGGGCCTGTTTGCAATCTAACCAGAAAGCTGAACTAATACTCAAGTGTGGTTTACTCTTGCGTTTCAAGTTCATGCATTGCGCTTAAAGTTATTATACATAACGAGTTCCGGCCACACAGTCCTACATGCAAAGGCTTTGTAAGTTTCGCTTTCGTGTGTGAAGTAAGCCCACTCTCTTGATGTATGAACGTGCCATATCCGATCATGCAATGCCGGCAGATGCATGATCAGAAGCGTGTTCGGATTCCTTGGCGCACTGAACAGAAGTATTAGTACTTGTCCTCTAATTGTCCACATACCATTGAGATACGAAAGAAGTATGTTTATTGTTTTATGAGGAGCCCAGTAGAAGGCCATGTACCTTCGTGTCATCGAAGAAGCCCCGAACAAGTTCAACCTGCAGAGTCTTATGATTAGAGCCAACAATCTACGAAGTGCTTTCCTCAGCTCACAAGTATTCTCAGAAGGAAAAGTATCCTTCACTCATACTGAAGGCAGCCGAACAACCCATTGCCAACATTTGCCGGGACAAGTCAGTCATCGAAACTCGCAGTCATGTTGTACGTATCCAAGAGTGGTACTTATCAGAAAGAATCTAGTTACCTTTCGTGCATTGCTGCAGCGTTCGAGCAACGCAGTCAGACCAATCATGCCATCTGGCGCAGAACTATTGCTTGGTATTATTATCACTTTTGGGTCGAAATATTGTAACAGCGTTACAATATTCTGATAGGAGCGGCTGGTCTCTATGAACTGAGACAGATGTAGTGAAGCCCGTCTTAAATCCAATGCAGCCACGCCAACCTGGTCATTTAAGTCTCGAGAAAAGTGCAAGTGGACGTGAGGGTCAGGGTGGACACTAAAATCACGTTTCCCCAAGGTGTGCAAATGATTTGCAGATGCAACTGGCAAGTGTGAAGCACATCAATCACCTCTTTCACACGGTTCTCGATGATGCCGAGAACATATCTCGTGTCACTGTCGCTTTTCTCGCTTTCCATAGCGGCGGATGTCACGTCCGCGCCTACTGGCCAAATGAATCACTTCCTCACTTCCTCCACCTTTTCTTGGGCGCTTCTTCTAACGTTATCGAACGTGTGCACGACCAAGGCGGCGTCACTCGTCCCAGATCTGGAGCCGATCCACTTCAAGAGCACTTTCAAATGCGTAGTGCGTAGTGGCTCCAGGCGCTCCGCGCCAGAAGTCCCGAGCCTCATCAACTTGCTTTGGGCGAGCATTCTTCTTTCGGCCAGACGATGCAGTAATTGTATCCCAAGGTTCGTGAGAGACTGGAGAATTGAGACAACGCACGATAATGCACATCAAGAATATACCTGTGGTGTTTTAACGTAACGCACCAGGCATAGAATGCCTGGTGCGTTACGTTAAAACACATTCTGGTGGGCAGGCATTCTGCTTTCATTTTAAAGTGCTGGATTCGTACTCGCGATATTTATACGTAACGTGGCAAGCCCATCACAGCCGTATTATGCTGGAGGAACGGACGTTTCATCCAGATTTCAAAGAAATTTCCCCATTTAGCACCAAGGTCATTTGAAGCAGGTGTTTAGTTTTGAGAATGAGTGACTCAACAAAATTTCAGTTCACTCCCATTAGCTTTCATCGTTTCCGCGGCTTTATGACCTTAATATTTCAACCAAACCATTAGGCTTCCTCCGATAGGTATTGATAAGGTTATAGATAGTACCGGTGTTGTATGGTAAGAATTCCCAATATTTCAGTTAACAAGTGAAAAAATTCGAAAATTCCTAGACTAAACTATTCAATACTAAAATCATCCATTTCAGCAATATAAGTAAACATTAGAAATAATACATGAAATCTTTTGCATGGGAGCTTTCCGTCATTAAACTCTACTTGTCTTTGCGTGACTCCGCTTTATAGTTGATTCAATATTTAGCATTGAGGATTGTTTGACGTTTGGTCGTACTTCTTGCGGTGGCTAGGAGAAACTCAGAGCGACGACGTGAGGCATAGGGCGTGTGTTATGATGAAGGAGGCAAGTAAAGATGTCTCAAAATTATTATGAACTTCTTCACAATGGACAACATGCTTCCGCAGCTCCCCAGAGGCCAAGATTATTTATCAGGTTAAAGGCTAGAAAGGAGATCGGTTGATGTAATCATCAGCAAGAAACTCAAACTGACCATAAGAACGATGACAAAGCTAGCCAGCTTTAATGTGTTGAGGCGTGATAATTTGTGAGGGTCAATCTATCTAATTAAACCCTCACAAACAATATCTGACATTCAAAGAAATAAATGACATAGTTTCAAAGTTTACTATAATTAAATTTGACTTCGTCTACAAATTATTTGCGCTAAAATTGATTTTTATAATCATGATGTGATTCAAACGCAACATGCGAGGACGACATCAAAATGCATATACGATGATAGAATTCAAATTTTTAAAACAAAATATCAAAGTAGAAAATTCAACAGTGTCCAATATATTTGAGCAGTTATTTGCGACTTTAGACGAAAACATAGACTTTTTAAGCGCAAAAATAAACATCACATGTGAAATTTGGTTGTGAATGCTAAGATTTTCATATTTAAATGCATGTAGAATTCAAAATTAGCTTATCAAACTATTGTTTCTGGATCTTGAAGACAAATTCAATATGTTTGAGTAGGTTTGATTTTTTTAAGTTAAAATTTTAGTGAAGATACGGAGAACATTCTTTGTGATTTATTTGAAAGAGAACTAATATCTTCATGAATTGGCAGAAAACAAACCAGCATTTATGTGATTTGGCGGAAAGCAGGGTATCATCTTTGTGGCTTGACATAAAATGAAGGAGCAAAATATGTAAGGTTGGAGTTTAAACCCTACATCATAGGAATTTTGCTCTAAATCCTAACACCTAGAGTTTTATCTAAAATTCTAGAATTAATTTTTTTATTTTTGGTTTTTCACATGGGTAAAATATTATTTATTCAGATAGTGCAAGTAACAATATCTTGGCTGGTCTAGACTTGCTCACAATGACATTATTATATATGATGGACGTGAAAACTATTTTTTTGGAGAGAGATTAGTCAAAGTCAAGTGGAAGACTATTATTTTGGCCGAGATGTTGAAGCATAAACCCTCATCTTCAATGACGACAATTAAATTATCTTCAAAAGCAGGTTGTTTTGAATGTTGTTATTTAAAATTTTCAACGTTCAAATTTGAAACAAGAGGATAATTATGATCATTCTAGTATTTTGTTTGAGATTATTGAGCAAGAATTTTATAAATAAAAGTTGTCAGATAGATTGTATGACTCATGAAGTGAATGAGTTTCAAGATGAAAATTCTAACACAAATATACAGATCACATTGATGTCTTTGGTGATCTTTTCGTTTATATTCAAAAAATTTAAAAGTTGATAATTTATGAGAGAAATTTCATATATTTTTTAAGCTTAATTTATCAATGATTACCACGCATATTGCTTCATTATCATAAGCAAATAATTAGTTACAACAAATTGTGAATGCTTTTTTCACTAATGACATTTAGTGAATTATGGTGAAATCATTTATTCCATTTTTTAAAATCTATACAACGTTAAGTATGGGTTGAGTTTAGTCATATTCATGATATTATAAGGATGAAAAGTGTTTTTCATCTAGAAGCTGTACAAAGTCTAGAAATAAATCCTTGAAAATAAAGATGATAGTTTATTAAAAAAATATGACAGTTGTGAGGGAGTTATGAAGATCAGGTGAAGACCAAAGTTGATGATCTCCATTTAGTTTTTATGGCTCAAAATTTCAGTATCAAAGAGGATAATTTGCTCAACAATCATGATTAAAAAATGTCTTGTGCAATTTATCAAAGAATTTTGATAATATATTGATTTTATTTTGTGTTTGTTTTCAGTACGGTGTAATAACGAAGATTTTATATACTTTTTTGGATGAAACATTTTATTTTTACTAAGAATCATCATATATATTGATTGAATAGTAGTTTTTAAGATTTAGTATATTAGATGAAGTTAGACATAAATTATATATATCTTATCTGATCAAATTTATATATGATATGGTAAATCTTATCTCTTGAGATGTTAGATTCACATTTTTTTTGAATAACTGTAAAACAGTAATGCTCAATATAAAACATTTATGATAAATTTATGTTTTTAAAAAAATATGATAGATGACATTGTGATGAAGTCAACTAAATGAAATATTTAATGGAAATTATTCATGTATGACATTTAAAACAAAAACTATGAATATTAGATTATTGAAACTACTTCGCAAAAGTAGATTGTAAATATGACTTATTGATATTTATTCAAGATTGATATGAATTGTTTCTAACACAAAACTCTTATAATTTTACCATTTCAAAAAACTAAAAGTCCAAATGAAAAATTAGACTAGACACAACATGAGATATTTACTTAGCTTAAAAAAAGTTTTTGTTCTGAAGAGTTTGAAATTTTTTGCAAAGGGGAAAAAATCATTTGTCTTTTTGTCACAATATACACTCCACAAAAAAAGCAGTCTCTCACAAGATCAATTAAACATTGTTGAAAAATGTACAAAGTATATTTAGCTAATCTGACTTTTCAAATAATTTTATGACTAGTATTATCAATTGTGCAATATATTTGGCAAAGTTGTTTTCTTCTAAAACAATCAATTTTTTCACACACTCTGAATTGAGTTACAAATTGGTGGATGACAATAATTGTTTGAAATTTTTTTTTAATGTAGCTTATATATAGACTTAAAAACAAAGAAAACAATCAAAATAATACATTTAAGAAGTATTGTTATCTTAAATGTAATAGTCATGTGAAGAATCATAAACTATGGTATTAAATAATCTGTATGATTATTATAGGCATAGATGATTTTTTATTAGTTCATGTCATCAAAAGAGAATACAGATTTTTGATTTCTTGTAAATATAGTCATAAATTTTCATTCACAGATATTGATTTGGGAAAAATTGATCATTATGAACTTAATATGACACAAGGAAAAGCTTCGATATCAATGGAACAAAATTTTGAAAAATAAAGATTGAAGAAGCAAGTATACTGATGAGACTGAAATAATTGCATTACATGATGAACATCAAGAATCTTCTACTAGTATATCAGAAATTTGAAATAAAAAATTACTTTAAATTATGTATAATAGATTGATCAATCCATTTTTAGAGATGATAATACAAAAACCGAGTATGATGTTTACAATGCGTTGAGCTTGAAAGAAGTAGAACCTTGACTTAATACATAAGTTCAAGATTCTTTCAATAAGTGTGATTGAAATATTGCTATGGAGCATGAAATATCATTTTTGATTGATAATAGTAGATTTTTCAAGAAATCATCATTTTGTTGATAGCAAGTGAATGTTTAATCTAAAATACAAATGGAGAGATGAGAACAAAAATCTTCAAAGACAAGTTGATGGCTAAAGGTTTCACATAAGAAAAAAATGTTCAATACAACAAAGTTTTACCACATGTAACAATGTATATTATAGTTATACTAGTATATGCATTTGTTGTATTATTTAATTGTGTTATAGATGAGATGGATGTATAAAAATCTATGGATATTTGAAAAAGAAAATTTATTTGAGACAACCACTTGATTTTGAAGATGAAAAAAAAAAAAAAAACTTGTTTGTAGATTCTTGAAATTTATATATTGATTGAATTAAATTCATAGGCTGTGTAATGCAAGGTTTGATAAGTTTAGAAGCACAAGATTTTACAATGAGTGTGAGTGATCATGTGTATATATGAAAAAGGTGGATAATTAAATCTTCAATCTTACTATTCTAGTTTTTTACTTTGATGACATGCTATTTTGACCAAAAAATTAATCTAACGTTAAAAAATATAAGGTTCAACTTAAATATGTAATTTTAAGTAATGATGAATTGCGCATTTGTAGTGTAGGTTATGCATATGTATCTGCATTTTTCTTGACATATGTGTGAGTTTGTTTGACTAAAAAATTCTACTTTTTTTTGAGTGAAAAACTTGATAGTTTGAGTTTTTAATACAATTTATGCAAGTTAACTATAATCCTCATATAACTTTTTTGATTAGCTTTTGGATCCTCAAAATTCTCACAAAACAATAAGTATGTAAGTAATTTTATATGTATTTTAAAATAAAGATATAAGTAATAAAAGACTATTTTTAAAAAATGTATATCATCTAATTATAATTTTCAATTTTGAAATAACGTTTGATAATTGTTAGAATTATCAAAAATCAAAATCAAGAACAGAAAACATTTATTTTGATAGATTTAGCTTGGATATACATCATAAACATATGTATTCATATTTAAATCATGCATAATTGAACAATAATATTTGCAAGATGCTTATTTTTTAAATTTTTTATAAAAAATCACATGTTGATAAATTTAGATACGTATGATGTTTAATCATCTTGATTTAAAATTTAAATCATGATATTACCAACCATCCATTTTTAAGAGAAATTTAATATTTTCAAGACATTTAACAATTTTGCACCCAAAACAGCAAAGAAAAAATATTTGTAAGACACCAAAAAAGTAGTTTATGTTTTACATATTTGACAAGTTAGCATTGAAATTGATTCTTGTTAACAAATTAATCATAAATGTGAAAATTTTATTAGTATGTTTAACAAAATATAGTAAAATACAGCAGTGATACAATATAAAGAGATTTCTTCAGTAAAGAAAATGTTGTAAATACATAATGACTTAAAAAACCCACAATTTAAATATCATCGCAAGTTTATATCAAAGTCACAAATCTTAAATGTAAGTTTATCATTTACGTATCCTATTGGTAATGAACTATACTTACATATTAATGATAAAAAAATCCAAACTTGCAATGCTAGTTCATGTATCATGTGACTGCTTTTTTATTCATTATATAGTATCAGATTTTTTAAATAAAAATTTAATTGGTTAAATGAAATGCAAGGAAAAATCAAAGGATGAATGAGAAAGGTTACAGATATTTTTCAAATTGATGAAAGATTAGAAGAAATGATTTGATGATTTTATCATCAAATCTTGTATCATTTACATGCTTATGATAATGAAATTGAAACTAACAAGAGTGAATTTCATTCTTAAAAAGGTTGAAATAAAATTTGTCGGCTAATGTGTAAAAGATGAGCCTAAGCTTGAACGACATTTGGAAACCTTAACTGAAACTAAAACATTTGGAAATTTTTTAATTCAACTATATTGACAAGTTAATAAGCTATCATTAATCTCTGATTATGGGTAAAGCTTAATAGATATATATGACATATTTCTTAGTTTATTCACTCCTACCTTGATTATGTCCTGCTGATTGCACATGGAGTTCATACGAGTGAATGATATCAATATTTCTTGAAAACGATGTTTATTTAAAAAATTAATGATTTGTTATTGGATATAGATCTATCTTTTCAACTCAATTTCTAATCTATGATTTGTTGGCATTTTATCCAATTTGGATGGATTTTAGACTTTTTTTAATCATGAGTAAGACCTGAAGTTATGATGTACTTGATTTCTGTTGTGAAATTGAAGAATATGTACAAAATTTTTGCCAAATGATTAGCTGAACATTTTGAACATTAATATGTGTCATATAAGAAATATGAATATAACATGTCATTTGTCTACATATAGTATTTTTCAAGTTACTAATTTGGAAGTGGATGGTAATTTGCTATTGTTTACAAAGGTATGTAAAACTAGTGCAAGTCTCACGGAAGCAGAAGTAGGCCAGAACTTTGTTAGACATCGCTGCTGATTGTGAGATGTGCATAAGAGATTTATAGTCGAATGGAATGTCAATAATCGCTCTACATGGAACTTGATTGTGTGAGGAAGAGATGAACGCGGATAAAGGAAAAACTATGAAGTGCGGTGGAGGGAGGGTACAGAGCGGAAAGCACTCACTCATGGTTTTGGATAAGCAGAAGAGACACAATAGCAGGCTTTGAGCAGCATCGATAGATTTCAGTTTGTAGGCTGCGAGAGCCTTTTGCCGAGGATTGGCTCGGCCAAATCAATGCTTGCGGCGATTCAGGGTGGTTCACGGGGGAGCAACGACTATGGAGCAATCAACAATTCGGGAGAGAGCAGATGTATCATGCTGACGGTTGAGGTTTTGAGGTTCTTCTTCAGGGTTACAGCAGATGTTCACAATTTTGATGCGTAAGTTGTGAAATTATGATTTGTGGGTCGAGCAAGGGCCTGCTCTTCGATGGAGTTTCCAAGATGTCTCGGACTATTGATACCGCCTGCTTTGTTCAACCTCTTCTCCCCTGTGTACGTGCCCGTGCAACGAATGTTTTCCCAGTAGATTTGTCTAGAGCGAAGGACGAAGACATAGCTGGCACTGCGCACCAAAATTCCCCGCTTGAGACGTGTGGAAGCTGTATAGGTCCATCTTTGCAGTCAAGTAGGCCATGGAGAAACGTGTACTCTGCATTTGCAAATGTTGGGCCGGAGGATTCTTCTCAGTCTACTGACGGGCATTCTGACGGCATTCGTTTCAATGTTTTACAAGAAGCGAAAGAAGCTGCTGATTTGATTCAGGGTAAAACCGAAGAGTTGAGGCAGGCCATTGTTACCGCCGACTATGAAGTGAAACCCACACCGTACACTCCAGTTGAAGGTGTCGAAGCCGTGCAGTTTTATGTGACCTGTGCGATGCTCGTCGTTGCATTTTGGGTTGGCAATTACTGGGTTCCTAACCTGATATTCAAAGATACTGTATTTCGGGATGAGGAAGTAGTAGACGAGTTTACTGTTCCCCTCGAAGATACTCTAGAAGACAGCAGGCAAGTGGTCGATAGTCAGCAGCGATTACAATCGAAGTCCACAGAGGACTTCAATTCTAGTAAAAAGGAAACACTGGAGAGCCAAACGCCTGCAGTTGAGAAAGTCGTCGTGGGATTTGGGAAAGGAAGTAAGCAAATTTCGAAGAGAAATAGAAGCTCGTGATTTTCACTTTGTGACTCCCATGTGTGCAGGTTACGTTGGTTATATTGGTCATGTATGATTGAATGAGGTGTAGGGTCAATGAGTCAGCTATGCTCTTCATCTCACGCTTTCAAGGAAGAGATAAACAGGTGTTTCGGTAGAATGGCTCTTCTTGCTGTAAACTTGGTCACTCGAAATCCGCAACTTTCTCGGGACTGTATCAGACTTCTCCGTTTGATCTGTTTGTAAATTCCTGCATTCGGGTCATTCGGATCATTATAGGTTCTTATCTTCTTGGTCAAAACGCTACGACTCATCAATGGCACGTGGTAGTAGCAGTAGAAGAACTGGAATGCACGCGTTGATCAGACGTGGTAAGCGGGTCACATCTAACCCACGATTTAGAATGTGACCTCCAAAACCCAATGATTCGGAGTTCACATGTCTTTTAGTTTGCAGCCCCTCTCGGAGAGGATCTGAGTGGCAGGAAATTTTCACGAACCGATATGTTAAGACGTTGTGCGCCAATCAGCTGACATATGCAAATCGGCTGTAATTTGCTTCCAATGTAAAGAACTGACGAGCAACTGATGGTATCGAGGCTGTACTCTGAACTCCTAGATCACTGTACACTACTCCAATCTACGAGAGCAGCGAGGAGCCTCGTAATGGAAGTAGGAAGTATCGGAAATAGGAAGTAAATGAGCAAATGAAATGGAAGTCTATCTACGTGAAAGAGAACTGTTTAGGGTTCCCATTAACTTTAAAACATATAATCAGATACTCATCAGGCTCTTTTCTCAACCTCAACTTAATGCGTTCTGTACAAGACACAACAATATCTGGAAAGTTAGGATTTACAATGAATCATGACTAGTATGTAACGTTTCAATCTGACGACTTCGAGGAGCATTCCTTGCACTTAATAATCACGAGTTTCCTCTCACAGGCCCGGTAAAGGGATTACTGCTGAAAAGTTTTGGGCGGTCGCCCTAATCTGTATGGTCTCGTATGATACCCCCTACTGATATTAGGACAATTCGAAATTTCTAGTGCAAATGAAGATGCCAGTGGAGACATACTTGAACGTGGCCTTTGACCCGCATCCTGGAGATTTGGTGTCGGAACCCTAACCCTAAATGTGAAACTTGCAGCATTGCCTTCTTTGTTTCGTCGATCGTTTTAAAGATTGGAGCTGCACTCGTAAGCCTTAAAGCCATGGGTCGGTCCACAGCTACTGGGTCTAAGGGCAAGCGTTCCTCCTGCCGCAACGAACCGAGTGCCGTAACAGCATCGGGGTCCTCGGCCAAGTCTATTTTGGCAGGTAGATGGTCTAGGATTGACGTATTCCATTAAGCTCTTCTTCTTTCTGTGAACAGCACGAAAAATGAAAGGAGTTGGCAAAGTGTTCACGTCTGTTTGGTAGATGGCTGCAAGTGGAGATCGAGAGGGAGAGGGTTGGTCAAAACGGCCTTACGAAAGCGGAGATGGATTTTTTGCGAAGGACCTGAAAAATCACCTTCCTGAACGTGATGTTCCACTTTTTCAGAAGCGAGGAGGTTGGGCCAGCAGGCATCCAGAAAGCCCGAGGGTGTCTTGCGCAGCCCTGTTCTCAAATCTTGTGTCGAACTCTTCCGGAGGGGCATTACTCTGCCTCTATCTCCTCCGGAGTACGAGGAAGCTCTCTTTGATTTGGTAAATTCCAAACCTCATAGATGTCGATCCTCAAGTTATTTGAGTGGACGTTGTCATACATGACAGTATCTACTACTGCATCTAGTGTGATTAAGGATGCGAGATCTCAAAACTTGGCCTCGGTTGCAGTAGGTTCTTGACATCGAGGTCCTTAACCTTTGCCGTCGGGTCCCGCAGGCTGAAGTGCTTCTGCAGCTATGCAGTTCCCTCCAGGCGGGAGTTGGCCAGATTACAGGAAGCCCCTTAGAAGGGAAGACGAAAAAAGGCCAGGCAGTTGGGCTCCAATGCCAAAATTTGGCCGAAGCTGCTGAAATGTGCAGGTTAGTCCCAGTTTCAACCTGAATTTTGTATGAACCGATTGGACTATTGTGCAGGTGATTCAAGATACACGAGGGAAACTTGACAATTGTGTTCTGACATCTTTCCTCGATCTGCCTGGCAGGGAAAGCGCTGAGGCTTTCGAGTCTGTATGTACCCTCAAAGGTCAGTTGGAACAAGAGGCCCTTGTCAACAGCGGCGTCGCTCTCAGCGACTGGTCAGAACTTGCGCTTGAACTCCCCGAATCTAATGGAGGCGGTCTGACTCTCGCCAAAGATATACTCTTACGAGCGTTTGAGAGGTGAGAATTTTTGGTATTACCGAACATCGACGAATTTCGAACTCCATGTAATTCATTTTGTTTCAATTTTACGAAGAACTAATTCTACAATTCTCAAGGATAAAATCACAACTCCCCTTACAGCTGCCCCGCTGGGGCTGCAAGCGGGAATCCCCCTCCAGTAGTCATGACACTTTATTTTACGATCAAATTACGGGAAAGCACGTGTATCCAGTGTTGGGACCATCTCCCGTTCTAAAGCCAGTGATGAGTTTATGTCATGCACCACACTGATTTTCTGTGCTGATTATGACCATATAATTCTCTGAAGGCTATCTCGGCAAGCGCACAATTTATTTACCTCTTCTGTCTCCGGTAGTCCAACAGGATTACTCGTCAAGAGTATGGCGAATGCTAATGCTGATGTATTCCTCCAGGAATGCATCCCTCAAGCAATGCCTCCATTCCAAGCCACCTCTGTCAATGAGTGCGCTATGTCCCAGTGATGAGTATACGTCATGCACCACACTGAGTATCTACGTGCTGATTATGACCATATAATCTCCTGAGGGTCCTAGTTTACTCTGTCTTTCCAGCACCCGTGCGACAAGACCAGTTATGCGTACGCTCCCTGAAACCAAGAGGTTGGAATATTTTAGCAACAGTTGGGATTGTGTTCCCGACTTTGTCCTCAGAGATCCCCATACGAAACGATTACGTCTCGATGATTAACTCTGTAACTCCGTCTGATGTCAGTTACTTCCGTGAGGAGAATTTGGATCGACTATATGAGAGACACGTATCATCTGGAATTGGTTACTCACACATTGTGCTCGTATGTTCGTCATGCCTGTCACTGCTACATCTCCCTATGATTATGAACTTATTAGCTCTATCTGACGTTACAGCTAAATCTGAACGTTTGGAGATAAACAATTATTTTTTATGAGGGAGAAACATTTTAGGTGATGGCTGAAGAATCTAATCAGTCCTGTCTGCACGTCCAATACGTAGGAAACATTGTTTTCCCGCGTGGGTCAAATTTTAACTGCAACGTTGTTTGTCATAGATATTCGGCCGCACTGCTATCAACCCCAGTTGATGTGGAGCTTCTGGTGAATTACGCGGACTGCTGCGTGCGGAGGGCGGAACTCGAAGTCGATCACCCTTCGTCTGACGTCCAGTGGAACGCCATCAAAGAGCTGTACGAGCTTGGGCTAGGAGCGTACGCCTCTGCGTGCGCCAATGCCGATGCAAGGATAGGTGACGATCTGGCTGGGCTTCTGCATAATTGGGGATCAGGACTCTTTTCTTTTGCAGAGGTACGGCCCTTGATAAATCAGACTGAATTCGCGCCGCTAGATCATTCTGTGCGCGCACTTATATGCAACTACATTCTAAGTAAGTCTTGTTTATCTGCAGAGATCACCTGATTTGGAAGAGGCTCTAAATTTCGTCAAGAGTGGCCAAGAGAAGTTCTTCACTGCTATCAAGTTTGGAAGCACCGATGGAAACATCAGAAATGGCCTGGGCGAATGTCTGACTAGTTTTGTGGACAAACTGCAAGGGAAGGGTGACTTCCTTCAACGAGGACTGGATCTTTTGCAGGCCGCTTGCAATGACGGCTATGGAGCCGTCTTGAAGATTGACTCTTCTAACATAGCCGCCCTTCTCGGCCTCGGAGAAGCATACCTGTCAGCCGGTAAAATACTCATTGGACAAGGATTATTTCCGCGAGCTCGAGAGTCTCTTAGTGAGAGTGTAAGAAACTTCGAGCGAGCGTTTGAGCTTATGAAACAAGGTGAGCTAAATTTCATTTTCGTCCTTGGCTATCATTCTATTCCTTTTCTTTGGATCAAAATGTTGTTCCTAGTATTTGTCTGCGTCGAGCATACACTTCATCCAGCCTGACAATTCCTTGTTTTCAGATGCTGAAAAATCGACGAAGTTCAAGCACGAGGAATTATGTGACTCGCTCTACAACTTTGCGTGCGCTGCCGCTCTTCTTGAGTTCGAGTCGAAGGCTGTCGAAATTGTGGAGCATCTGTTGGCTATAGATGCGGTTTGCATAGAAGATGTAATGAAAGATTTTGACTTGAGAAATTTACATCAATATTTTCTATCGAAATATGCCAAGATATTATAGCTAGAGTACCATAATATGCGTACATTCTATCCATTGAAACGAAATAAAGAAATATTGTCGCCGAGGAGAAAAGAAAGATGTGTATGACTTATGGACGGCTGTCGTATGGCGATAGAACAGCAATCCAATATTGCGAGTGAAGTTGGCAATATGGCGTGCGGAGGCAAATCCCATGGTAATTGTAGACAAAATAAATAGTGGAAAAAAAGTTTAGAATTTAAAGTGTGACTACTGATAGATTATTTCACTCTAATGAAAGAAATAATAGATGAAAATATGTTAACGAAATTATGATTAAAAAATTTGAAAAATAATAATACTGGCAATATCATAATGAAATAACCATCTTAACAATAGTACATATGAACAAATGGAAAAAGCATTACATATGTACCTATCCAATTGACTTTTCTAAAGCTCGATGCAGTAGAACATTACACTCAGGTCTAATCGTCGGGTGAAAATATGTCCCATCATTCAACCAACTTCCACAGGAAAAAACGTTGATGTACGTTGAATGTTGAATGTTGATTCAAGACAAGTGAAAGTACCATGCATGAACTATCGTCCGAACAGAAATAGCAACATATCATTTGCAAAATCTTAACTCTTCGACTCGGGAAAGAAAATATCAATATCGCGAATATCATCCATCTAAGCGCAGCTTCTAATGAACAGTATTGGTTTCTGATTTAGGCACTGTAGAGAAAGTAAAGAAAAGAACAAATATTCAGCGCAAAAGAATTGAAAAACACAATATATATTTGTTACATCAATACTAATATATATATAGTCAATGGATATGACTACTGTTGGACAATGATGTAGCAAATACTGGGAAATGACCACGAAATATTATGGATAAGTGGAATCCCAAGATCATAGTAAATTATGTTCTACACAAACGAGAAAGTCGGCTAAAAACTTCTGATCTTGCAATGTGAAAGATGAATATTTTGAAGCTGACTTCGATCTTTCAATGTAAATTCGAATTTGAAGACAATTATTCCCAAAAAATGACCGAAAATTCAGAAGATTGACTATTTAGGTAAAACTATATTTTATTATAAAATATTCTATAATAAAGCTGATATCTATTGAGTAAATTTCCATTGAAAATTATATGTAATGTATGTACTAAATTATAAGTTATAAATTATCATCATTAATTTATTCTCAGTTCAGATTTCAAATATTATTCAAGAAATATGGATAAAATAATAGTAAAAGTTTTCAAATTTAAAAGTGTTAGACCAAATTTCATATATTCCAATAAATACATGAATTCAACAGTATGGGTTGAAAAAAAACATATTTTTCAACACATAAATACAATAACAATCATCAATAGATAATTTAGATGCCTCAATCAGCTCAAATCTAGAATTCATGTTTTAAGCTTCAAATCTTCAATCATGATAATTTTTTATTATACTTAACTCTTATTTACATGATATTTTACATATATATATATATATATATATGAAATAATGAATCGAAAATGATTTTAAAATTATTGATATTATTAAAAAATTATTCAAGTATATACATAAAATAAAATATCATAAGTATATACTTAAAATTTTCAAAAATATATTGTTTTAATTGCAACTTATATGCATGAAAAAAAATTTAAACATGTAAATTTTACAATAAAAAAATCAGTATGGACTATATATTTTTTTTAAAAAATATTTTAATTTATCATTATAATATCCTAGTTAGAATTGAACTTGATTGTCATGAATTCTTCATTTTTAAAATATTTTTAGAATTAATCAAAATATGATGAAGTATAAATTTTTGTTGTTTCTAAATTTTATTCATGAGTAACTACAAATTTCATCTAATTTTTTTCACTTTATTATCAAACACAATAGATATTCAATAGATTTCATTTACAAATATATATTGTTTTGCATTTGTAAGTCAAGTAGGGTATTTTGCATAAAATACTAACAAAAAAATGTGATAAAAATTTCAAAATATAAGGGAAGAAAATTCCAATTGCGTGTTCAATGAACTTTTTTCCCCCGAATCTTGTCATACTTGTAGAACAATACAGTATGAACTTCTTGAAAAATGATATGGGATATAAAATTTTTCTTGAATTTCTTATTTTTATTATGATTATGCCTAGTAATAATACTACTCTTTATTGAAGGTGTCAAAATTGTTTAAGTTGTATTCAGTTTTGATTTAAGAGGCTTATCAACTACATTATCATATTTTTTGATTTAAAAAAAATTCCACACTTATGTGTGTTGCAAAGGAACAAAATAATGATCACTAAATTCACAATTGTATTTCAACTTCTTAGGTCAAAAACTATAAGTGTTAGATGGAGAATATTGATCTATTTAAACATCAGATATTACTATCTACATCTAGATACTAGAAGAATCTCATTAGAAAAAAAATATTAGTCAGATATCAGAAGAATATCACTAGAGACAAATTCAAACTGTTAAAGCTGTTTTGTAAATTATCATCAATTAGTTTCAGCTTCATATTTGTATTTATTCAGATACTGCTCGGAAGCATAGTTCTCCTGATTGAGGTTAATATCATATGATAGCAAGTTTTATTCAATTTAAGGTCCTACTTTTTAAGAATCAAATTTCTTTTATATAAAATGTTGATACTCAAATCAAGAAGTAAAGTATAAAAATAAAAATAAAATAAAAATTCTGAGGTTTAGAAATTAGCAAGATTTGAGTATCTGTTCCTTCAAATCAAGCGTTTCACCATCAAACCATGCAGTGTAAAAATACTTCGAGATTTATAGCAGTTACTTATCCCACATGTATGTCCATCCTGATATCTACCCAGATTGTCTTCTTTGATTGGTAGAAAATTGTGTAATCTTGGAATTTTCACCCTAAGGGTTTGGGGCTATTTTGTACTCGCGAAGTTCCAGTTCTGAAGCTGTTCTCCAGAGCTCAGCCATGATTGCCTCCAACTCGGCCAATTTTAACACAGACATCGGTAAAAAAAATTACTACTTAAGTTGGGTCCGTAAGTGCCCAAAAGAGGTTTGAAAACCTTGGCACTGGTCACATGAGCTTATCTCTTATCTCAGTGATCGCGATGTCGATGCATAAACAAGACCACTCTGACCGCTTTAGAACGTAACTCCTGAAGGTTAGAGTTGATAATGAAATAAGACATATTCGTGTGTGCCTCACGTGGTCCTTATCCTTGCCTGATATTTAAGTCTGGTTTCTGCGTGGTAAGTTTTCCACCGTGCTTCGGGTGTAGGGCCTATTCCTTGTCACCATGGTTGCCCCTTCAACACCGTTAGGTCTAATCAAGAATCACTTTCTTGGATTCTATTGTTGGAATTTTTATGAAAAAAGTACTACTCCCTTTGATACAAAATTAACCAGTTCGATTTCCAGCGGCGCTGGTCCAAGCACTACCCCTAAAGGTACAACGAATTTATGCAAGAAATTACCAGTTGTATCATTAGTTAGGAATTTAAAAAGTTAAATTTACATTCATAAGTAGTAAGGTGAGTTATGACTCCTCTTGTACTCTTTAACATTCATAGTCCGAAATGCGTAGAAATGTGTGCTGAAATTCCAGACTGACATGTGATAAAGCAAACAAGTCATCACCCAAAAGATACAAGACCATTTTTGGCAAAGCTATACTCAACTGATCAACACACAAACTTGAACTGAAATCATATTGGGTTAACATAATCAATTAATCAGCAAATTGACCGATCTTGATTACAAGTTGGAATCTAGGCTGTGACGCTAAGAAGCCCTATTGTTATTGGATTCACTCTAGCTTGTGGAGGCATTCTAAGTTAACTTCGCGAATACTCCAATATGCGTGGAGAATTTTTTGAAGTTTACTTGTATGTTCCAATATAGCTTGATTACACTTGTGGCTTGAGAACAAAAAACTTACATTTGATCTCAAGAGAAAAAAGTGTAATTAACTGATCATACTCTTGTCATTACAAACAAAGCATAGCCGTAAGATATATCTTCATGAGGGATCTTTATTATCTTCAAGCCATGCAAACACATCCTCGTTAAATGATACATCATAATTCTAGTATGTCCTTGCAGTCTTGTTGTAATGACTCGACATAACTTCTTAAACTTCTTGTCTCATGTCCAAAGGAGATATGTAAGATCTCCTTTGGACGATAGTTCATATCATCAAAAAACCTCACAACTTACTTAAGCCGTTAAAAAACATTTTGACTCTACCTTGTCGCATCTTGCTAGGACATACTGTGCACAATTAGCCGTCAATTTCTCTTACGTCTGCTTACGCCTGCAGAGGTTGTCGATCTTTGTTTTTTGAAGTAAGCCTCAAAGAATCTAGAATAAATTTTTGAATCTCAATTAATTATAAAATTTGTTCTATGGACTGAAATTACATATTTAAGTGAACTTAAAAAATGTAAAAGCACATTCGCAATGTTCTTTTAAATTTACAATCCTAATTAATTATACCATATAATATAAAGAATCGTATATAAACACATATTAGAAATTAACCCAATTTTAATTGTTTGAAAAAATACATATCGGACAGAGTATGACAATTGTAAGATTCAATTAGATCAAACACACATTAATCTGATTGAATCAATTAAATCTAACTTCAAACAAAAATATTTTGAAATGGAAATAAAGAGACTAAATCATTAAAATATAATTTAGATAATGAAAAAAATAAAAATATATACATCATTAAAATATTAACAGCTTATGAAAAATAAATGTACGATCAGTGATTATACATTATAAAATAAGACATAAATGAGCGTCACCAGCTCATGTTGTCACTTTTAAAACTATTAATACAATAATTTTAAAATAAAAAAGAAAAATCCTAGATATTATTGATAGTTAATTTGAAATATTTGTAAATTTTTTTATTGATCTATCAAAAGAATTGATCAATAAACTCATGTTTGTGAAAAATCAATAAAAAGATCAAGATGTTTGTGAAAAAAGTCAGGTTACTGCATGAAAACATATCTAAAGATATGGAACTTATCTTTTAATTATAAAAAGAATAAGTTCATATTGAAAACATATAAAATGTTTTAATCTTTTTTTTAAATGAAGTTTAGCAAGAAGGTAGTAAAATATCAAAGTTTGAATCTCACACCTTCGTACACAAATTTTACTGGAATTGTGGTATAGACTGAAAAGCTAACTGGCGAAGTTTACATGGACTAACTGCAGTTTTAACTCTTATAAAGAACCTCGTGCTGAGTCATGTGTCATCAATATGTGGTAAAAACTGGTTGGTTTTATCTTATCAGCATGGTTCACGAACAAGAAAACACATGCTTGCGACTGCTTCACTACCCGCCCTTGAGTCGTATATGAATGAACAGAGCAACAAAGTACAGTAGTGTGTCATCATCACCTAGATCGTATAAAACTCACTAAACATCTGTAGAGAGAATCTCGTGTGTTGTCCTTTTAATAATCTGCGATATGCTGGTCAGAGAATCTTCTCTTTGGTTGCATCATACTTGATGACTCAGAGAACATGTAGTCATGTCCGGCCGATCGGTTCTTGGCTTGATACTTATATTCACAATATGGAAATGAGAGCAATGGACATCAGTTCTAGTACGAATGCTGCGTTTGCGTCTCCTTGAAATGATCTAGATGAACACTTACTAATATTATAAAAGATCTGGGGCTGTCCATTCATCACATGGACATGCTAAATTTGCAACCTAGCGTGGCAAACTTATCAATAATTGAAGACTACTACGTAGACTCAAGCTATGAAGGCTTGAGATGAACACCCCAATACTGATAGTTCCTCGGTCGGTAGCTTTTCTTTGTTGTGAAATAAAAGCCTCTCTTGACCCAAAAAGTAGACAAAATCTACTGTGAGAATATCATTTAACCATAGAATATTATGGAACCAAGGCTTTTAATAACTCATGTTTATGTTATTAAAATCTTCCGCGAAGGAAAGTAGTCAGCCAGAGGGGACAGTAACATGAAACAGAAAACTAGTTGCATGGATGCAGAGGGCAACTTCATTTGGAAGTATAGAACTATCAGTATCTGTTATTCCATAAGCAAGGGAACGAGGACAGACAGTCCTACGAGACCTTGTGGAATCTGGGTGATTACTGGAAGATGCTCAATGAGTAGCGGAATCTTATCCGAATTCTCGGGATAAGGTTTGTACTCCAGTCTTTCTTTTCAGCCTCTGTTCTATCCATTTTCGGTCACCTGGAAACTCAGGTTCATTTTGCACTAGGCTAGTTAAAACTTGAGAGTGAAGCTATGCCGAAACGATCTGTCAAAGTCTTCCTGTAGAACGACTTTCACCAGAACGTAGAAGTAGAAAAAGAACTGTCTTGCTGGGAAACATGACAGATGATTGGTGAAGTTAATCAGACAGGCGAGTGATAAAGTAGAAGACAGTCAGCGACTCACTCAGGTGCGGTGCTCAAAAAGTAACGTCATGGATGTCGTGCTCAACGGCAACGACGCAAGGAAGTCAAGTCGACGGCAAACGCAGGGAAGATCGGGCGGGCAGGAAATCAAGCAGGCAGGCAGATGTGTAGGAATGATGCGAGCCTCAGGATGTATGTCTTTTAGTGAAGGATGAAGTGAAAGCTCATTAAAAAAAGGGCAGACAGATCTGCAGGGCACATGGAACTTAACTCAGAGCAGACAGGACAGCGTCCGTCGAGTCGAGTCGATTCGCCTTGAGAAAAGAGAACATGGGAATATAACGGAATCTGGAATCTTGCCTCTGCTGATCAAGGCCAGGCGAGTCAAGGTTAAAACCGTGTCATGACATGAAGCTTATAATGGAGCTTAACTCAGAGCAGACAGGAAAAAGTCCGTCGAGTCGATTCGCCTTGAGAAAGAAGAACATGGGAATACAAGGGAATCTGGAATCTTGCATCTGCTGATCAAGGCCAGGCAGGGCAAGGTGAAAAATTTGTCACGACATGAAGCTGAAAATCTGTTTGCTAGATCGGGGTAGGGAGAGGGGGAAAAGTAAATGTGTAATAATGGATCATGGTCATGTAGATGACGGAGAGGAGAGGGGAGCTGCGGGAGAAAGAGGAGGAGGGGGAGATGGGAGGTAGCGTGCGAGGTCAAGCAACGCGGGTTGGGCGGCGTTGGTGCTGTGGGTGGTGGGAATATGCTGGAGCCGGCGACTGCCGGATCTGACTGTTCGTCTAACATTGGCTGGCACAGAGCCTAAGATGGATTGCTGTGCAGTGCAGTGAGCTGTGTAGCCCGGCAAGGCTCAGTGGGAAGCATCTCCAATTTCCATGGTAGCCTTGCTCATGATCCAGCCAGCTGCAGGAGTTCAGAAATAGAATGTCAATGTGCCTAGGACTGGAAAGCTGATAGCGCTGAGTTGCGACGTTAATAAAACTAATAGAAAGGAATTGATGATGAATTGATGAGGATCGAGAGTTGTGCATGACATACATAGAAGAGACGAGACCCGGGAGAGAATCGCGGAGCGAGCAGCCAGCGGAGTGACAAGAGCAACTACTCGTGCTTGATCTGCACAGAGAGGGAGGGCGAGGTCTGGGACGAGGACGAGGAAGCTGTAGCAGTGCTTACTTCCCTGTTGGATTCCTCCTTTGCTTGCCCGGGTGTGAGGGAAGGGCGAGGGAAGCCAGATTCTCAAGCCTGCCCCTGTGTTTACGCCCAAGATCAGCTGGACCATTATCACCTCACTCTGTCACTGCCCATGTGCAGCTGCATTGCCCACAACTCCACTCTCCACAAGCTAAGCTTGCAGCAGCGAGGGTCCTGTATCCACGCTCGCTCCAGCGCCTCTGCACAGGAGCAGCTTGGACTCTCGGTGAGCTAGCTGGCTGGCTGTCCGAAGCAGGAGCTGCTGCTGCTGTAACCAGTGCAAGAGAGAGGGAGGGAGGGGCGCGCGCGCACACACACACAGAGGCAGGTAGACCGATAGAGGGAGGGGGAGAAAGCCACCGAAGCTGAATAATAAAAAGAAATCTCTCTCTCCAGAGAAGGCAGTCTTCTGAGTAATCAAGTTAGTCATTCGGCAACCGATCCATCCCGCAGACCGACCGACGAGATTGCAGTGCTGATTTTGTACCGCAGCACAAGCAAAAGCAATCTCGCAGGGAAGGTGGAAAGTACGAACGAAGGCAGGCAGGCAGGCAGGAAGGCAGGAAGGCTTCAGGAAGCCAAGTAGTCGACAAGTCGTTCAATCTCGACGATTGAGTGATTGTCAAATTTTTGTTCGCGACTACATTAGATCTTAAGGAAGGAACCATGTCGACCACCGAGGCCCAACAGGCTGATCTGAACGCCGCTGCTGCGGATTTGCAGAAGACGGCGAGTGATGTCATCAACTCGGCTGGTGCCGCAGGCGAGGACGCCAAGGCCTCAGCTGGATCGAAAAGGGAGGCCCTCTTGAATGTGGCAAATATTGTCAAGGATCAGGCCAGTAAGGGAATAGACACTTCTAAAGCCTACATCGACAGAGTCGTTGACCACGTGGGAACCTTCGCTCAGCAAGCTACAGACAAAGCTTCCACGCAGATCGGAGGTCTGCAATCCACGGCCACAGCCCAGCTCGCCAGCCTACAGGAGAACCTTGCCAAGGCTATCAAGGCCGGTCAGACGTCTGGCACTTCATCGACTCCTGCTGCAGATGGAACTACCACAGACAGGGTGAGTTCCCATTCCTCATTCATTTTCTTTTAGCTCAAATCAGGTACAATTAGGATTGGTCCGATGACAAATGCGCAGTCCTGGCGGAACGTACATCGCTCCGTACAGAAAATTGCGCTCGAACCCATGGACGCTGGACCACCGCTCAGCTCAGCTCGACTGAAATTGAACGGAATGCACGAGGAAATGAGAGAATTTCTTGCGAGATTGGCCCGAGACTGACCAAGGAACGCGCTTGCGCTCGCAGAGTTACACGCCGGCGGCGGCGGATGGATCCGGATCCGGAGCGAACGATGCGATGAAGTTCCCGTTCAACGTCGTCACCTGGTGCAGCACGGTGTGCGGAGGCAAGGACGGCGCGGCGCCGGCCTTCAACGCGAGGGGGCTGTCGCCCGACGCGCTGCGCGAGGCCGCGGCCAGCGTGCAGGCCTCGCTGGAGAGCGGGCAGGCCAGCCTCACGGAGCAGGCCAAGGCCGCGGCCGCCAGCGCCAAGGAGAAGGCCTCGGCCGCCGCGGCGCAAGCGCAGGAAGCCGCGCAGAGCGCCCAGGAGAAGGCGCAGGCCGCCAGCGCGCAGGTCCAGGAGGCCGTGAGCGCCAAGGCCGCCGAGGCGCAGGAGGCCGCGGCGCAGGAGCAGAAGTCGCTGGCCGAGCAAGGCCAGGCCGCCAAGGACGCGGCCGTGGCCGAAGCCAGCGCCGTCAAGGAACAGGTGGAGGCCAAGGTGGCCGAGGTGCAATCGCAGGTCTCGGGCGCAGGCGCCCCCGCCGCCCCTTCCTCATAACTGCGCGCTTCCGATCCCGCGCCATCTTTCTTCTGAAGCGAAGGTGACTCGACTTTCGACGAAATCTGAATTTCGCCACCTTGCAGTTCGTCCATGTTGCTTTGCACGCGGAGATGAGATGAGACGAGCGGAGAGGAGAGGAGAGGACGTTTCTGATCGGGCCTCGCTGACTGACCGCTCGGCTTGTGGGGTGTCTGTCTGGTGCCGGCGACGCAATGCAGTTTTTAACGTGGAGCTAGCGGTCGATCTCTCTCCCATGCATGGTCTACGACATCCCCGGAGCAGTTAGCCACTGCGCACTTCTTGCCGTAGCGCACGATTCAGAAGAGTGTGTGTGTGAGAGAGTCTGATAGTCCGAGAGACAGAAGACAGAGAGTTTTTGTGTGTGTGTCTGAGGTCTGAGGAGGGACACGAGCACGCGGTGCCACGCGAGCGAGGAGGACGACTTCCATGTATACATACCTACAGTAGTCGAGTCTTTCAGTCGAGTTCGAGTGTATTTGTTTAGACAGTAGGAACCCATACAGTACTACGGTAGTAGAGAATTGACAGCGGCCTAGTTTTTCTTTGACTGGATGATGATTATGATGATATGATTGATTTCCACGCCATTGCTTGTGCCCAGCAGCCATCGGTCGTCAGTCAGAAGGATGTGATGCTTCAGAAGTTCGTCTCTCTGCAGAAAACTACGGTAGACACACATACATGCAGTACTAGCACTAGCACTAGCCCATGGAAGGAAGAAAGCAAAAGACGGTGTCTCATCCTACGTACGATATTCCACCACAACCACCCCTTAGTATTCACGTACCCCACTCCCTCCCTCCCTCCCTCAATTATTAGTACTGTAATGTACTGAACTTGTGAAATTCAGTTGTCATTGTGGATTTCTTGTAATAAATCTGACCGCTCGAGTTGTTCGAGTTGGCACTTCTCGATTCACTTCTCGATGTATTTGTGTCCACTCGACTCCGACCCTACTTCTTTGTTTCCTTAATGTCATTTTCGCAACATATTTGTCTCGTCTCAGCCGTCAGTCTACTGCTCGGATCGAATTTTGTTCCACGAACGCACCATGGGAGTCTCGAGCCCGATTGCTATAAATAATTCTACAGATGATGGGTTGCTTATCTAATTTCACCATCGAGTATGAGATACTGCCGACCGTCCCATCCGTGTGATACATCTCTATGCGCTGGAGACTTCCGAGCCTTGCCATCAAACCGCTTGCGCTCTTTGACCGCATCTTGGAAGTACTTGAATTTACTGTTTAGGCTACTCGATACCGTCTAGAGTATGATAAGGTTCAAGGTCGTGCGCTAGATCGATTTATTTAACGAAGTTAGAAATTGAGTTCTATCTTCTCACAAGATTCCACTTAAAAAGTGGCGAACGACGAGATCAATATAGACCGCATCGAATGCATGCTGTTCCCATTAGTTGCCTGCCGTGTACGAGTCGAGTGACGAAGCTCTAGACTGAGACCGCACGTATGGAAGAGATCACCTGAAGTTCAAATCCACACAGCATCTCATTACCTGCACCTGCACTTTCCTCTGCTGCCGACTTATGCCAAATAGGTGGTTGCAGTGCACGAAGAAACCAGCAACTCAAAATCAGATTTGGTCAATAGTTCGACTCTGCGTCTGCTCCTTCCTCTGAAATTCAGTGGTCAATGCCATGCGCTTTTTCTTTGAGAATGGTTGACGATTGGTGGTGTTGTGTCATATCCTTGCCTAGAGGGAAAACAGCATCCACGTAAAATTGCGAAATCAGCTCTCAGTACGGTAGTTGAAGCTTGCACGAGGGGCGACAGACTGCGCAGTGTCAGCTGTTGCTCTTTTAGACCCTTCAGATTTCAGATTTCTAGGCCGACTCTCCTAGACAACTACTCTGTATCTACTCACATAGGTAGCTCTTTCCCAACACACAGCCGGGAAGAACCCACCCATTAGAGTTCTTCATCTCTTACATGTGACGATGTTTACCCCTGCTTTTCGATGTGCTAACCCGAGTGAAACCGTAGACGTTCTTGCAAACATATCGAAGAAGGTGCAATAGAGTACGAGAAACCATTCTAGATAATTTCCAACATAATATTTCTTTGCTTATTCCAGTTATTTTTATTCCCTTCCCTAGTTTTCCATATAACTCGGTAAGATGTTATTCCTTGCCCGTGATTTTTGATTTTCTTCTGTAACCAAAACTGTTCACACGACATTGGTTTCATACCAGCTTGTGGGTTGCTGCTCTTAACAGCGAATGTAGAGCATGACACGACTTTTGATTATTTCACTGGCAAGATTCATTTCATATAGTATGGTTTACTTTGCACAAATGTTTTGATCTCCACCTTCTAGACTTACATATGACTTTGAAAAAAAAATTGGACAATATTGGAAAATCCAGCCGGTGTCCTAGTACTTTGTCTCACACAATCTAGAAACAACTCTTGTTGAGGATTTATTTCATGTTGATGACTTTCTACATCAAGGGAAGTTCATTTGTCATATAGGCAGTATTGACGAGATAATTTTTATACCCGGATTCACAATAGGATATCGATTCTTTTTTCCTTGTGTCCAACAATTGTAGAGGTTTGCCATTAATTCACGAAGATACTTATCTTGATATGTTTATATTTTAGGCATGCTACACTCTATTTTATGAAATTGAATTAGACTATTCTTTGTATAGCTAGAATTGATCCGTGCTCTTGTTCAAGTAAGAAATGTTGTAAATGGTAAATGGTAAATAGATCAAGCCCGTGGGACCCAAAGTGTCAAAAGGCTAAAAAACACAATACAAAAAATCCAACTCCAAACAAGAAGAGAACCAAAAGAACCCCCTAGCTAATGCCCAAAGCACTAGAACGGTAACAAATAACATCCCTAATGTAACAACCTAAATCATAAGGCTCAAGCTGAAGCAAAGAATAAAAATTCTTAACAACAACTTTATGAGCCACTCTAATCTCTACATATCTAGTACAAGTAAGAAATACATGCTCTTCATCCTCAAATTTTCTTCCATCACATAGCCTACAAGTACGTTCACTCTTATCAATGTTCAACCAACGCCCTTCTTCAATCCCAAGACTATGAGATACTGTTCTATGCCTAGCAATAATATGACGTAAAGAAGTAGATATCTCTGCAAGTAAGTATCCTTCCTCACAATAAACAAGCATAGGATTCACATGAAGTTGATAAAACTGCATCTTGGTGCTTCGTCTACTCCAAATAATGCTGAGTTATTCCTCCTTAATACGCTCGCGTAGGGCAATAGGTTGCAAATCCCAATCGAGATCTGTCACATTCCACCTCAAACACCAAGTCACCACATCTGCAAACCACCCCTTGGGACGTGTGGCACGCAAAGCTTGAAGAGGAAGTCGAGAAGCATCAAGAGATCTCACTCTTTTGACGTAAGTGATAGTCAAAAAGGAAGCTTTAGCCTCAAGAGTTAGACAACATGTTTCTGCAAGAAGAATTGCATAAGAAGTTTGGGTACTCACACCCAATTCTTCTTGTAAGAAGATCTTTTGCACCCTCTCCAAACGCTGTCAACTTGTCTTCTTACAACTAGGACCCCACACTTGTGTTCCATATAAGATAACGGGAAACACTAAGCTCGTGAATAAGAATTTCCTAAGACTCCAAGACACTAGATGAGCTCCTCTACATCTATTTAGCAATGAATATAGAGCTTTGAAACTAGCTTCTACCCTCTTTTGCACACAAAGTTCCCAACTATAATCAGATGAGAAATCAATGCGCAAATATTTGTAACTTTTCACTTGTTCCAACTCTAATACTTTGTAACAGAAAGAAAGCTTGGATCTAATGCCCACAAGAATGACTTTAGACTTCTTCAAATTGACCTCCATCTGATTTTGAGTACAAAAGCTAGCCAAAGTGTCAAGGTGTTTCTGTAAACTAATGGCATCACGTGCTAGTAAAATGACATCATCTGCATACAAAAGAGCTTTGATGACAAAGACTTCAAGTTTAACACCTTTGCTATCACAATCCTCCAACCACCTTTCTATATCATCTATGAAAACTCCAAAGAAAGTAGAAGAGAGAGTACAACCTTGAATGACTCCAGTGGTGCTGATAATCTCTTGGGTTTGAGAAGTGTTGATCTTGGCTCGAACTGAGTGGTATAATGTAGCCACCGCTGCTAAGAGATCCAATGGTACTCCAATGGTTTGCAATCTTTGCCACAAAAAGCTCAATCTTTGTCAAAAGCTTTCTTGAAATCAATGAAGGCACAAAACAAAGCTTTTCCATTACCCTTGGATTTCTCTCATAGAACACGTAAAACCAAGATATGGTCTATAGTGTTGAATGTAGGACAAAAACCAACTTGAAGCCGCGCTCTCTTTTGACAAGATTCAGCCCATGTGCTCAATTTTGACTCCACAATTTGCCAAATAACTTGGCAAAAATACTACCCACCATGATAGTGCGATAGTTTGTCACCAAGGCCTTGCTCCGAGATTTGTGAATAGGAACAATCTTCCGTAGAGACCAAGTTGAAGGAAAGCCATGAATAGCAGCATTCTCTAACACTTTTGTGAGTATAGTTCCAATAGCATCTCCTCCCCACTTGAGAAGTTCAATGGAAAGTCCATCCAAATCCTCACATTTACCATTTTCCAGTTGTCTGAGTTGAGTCATCACTTCAACTTCTGAAAATAAGCCTGGATTTCCTTCACAATGTGGCATTGATGCAACATTGGAAAAAAAATAAAGCTTTTCAGCAAAAAAAATCAAAGACTTGGGATCAAGAGTAGGTTTAGAAGAGCGTACCGCCAACCGCCTCCAAAAGAATTTGGGATTCTCCAAGAGCTCCTTTGTCAAGCACTCTTGCTTCCGCCTCAAAAAAGCTCGTTTCTTAGACTTCACCAAGTCTTTGTAAAGTCTTGTCATAATCAACCGATTGTGAAGATCCAAGGATTTATCAAGTGATCTTGCCCTCGCTTGCTTGCAATCAAAGTCAAACCATTCATTGCAAGGAAGACCTCTAGCTCTCCTGGTCTTATGTCTCAAAGAACTTAGAAGTAGAGTTTTTGAGCAACTCGGTTAGTTGCAAACTAGATGTATGTGGATCAAGGCTCCAAGTAGTACGAGTCAAAAGGTCTTGGAAATGTTCACTATGAAGTTGCTTCTTACTAGCATCTCAACAAAACTTGGAGGAAGTAGAAACATAATTACATGTAGAAAGAGGGATTGACGTTGACAACAAAAGAGTAAATAAAGGAGGTGTATTATCTGATTCTGGTTGAGGCTCTAGAATATCAAACGTTGAGATAAATGAACCATTAGTGGCAGAGGACAAAAGATAATCTATAGTGCTAACACAAATAGAAAAAAAACATGTATTGAAGTGAGAGTTGTAAAAAAAACATCATTGAGAACTTTCAGATTACAAGTGGCTCCAAAAGTCAAAAAATGCTCAGTCAAATCATTTGTACAAGGATCACAAGAGACTCTAGACCACAAACTATCTGTACTTTCTTCAAAAGAGAGAGAAGACAAGGAACTATTAAATTGTGTAAATTGAGCAAAACGTATGCGAGCATTTAAGTCTCCAACAAGAAAAACTTCACCTTTGTCTTGATATTTGAGAACATCTCCTATGAGCCGATAGAATGGTTGACTTTGATTGCAAGTGCTTGTGGAGTAGATCTCCATGGATAATGGTGCAAAGTAACAAACTGCCAAATAACTGTAACATACTCCAATGAATCTAAGACGAAGCCAATGATATTGTTTCCCAATATCTTGGCTTTCCAAATGTATCATAGGAAGAAGTTCAGATCTGATGAAAGTAGCAATGCCTCCAAAGCCTCTTCCTGCTCGTCGATTTCTATGGTTCCATGTAGATCCCACTAGAGTTAACCCTTGTATCTCTCCAATA